CCTAGATCTTCGGAAAACGGTCCGTTGCCTTTATATTGAAATTCCGAGTCCGGTTTGTGCCAAGAACTGCAGACATTTCTAGTTGAGGGTATTTGTATAGGATGTCACGTCAATGGACGCAGCCAAAGGCCTAATTGTTGAGGAACAAGGGGTATTGAACTATGTATCAGATCCCCCCAAAAAAGAATCATGAAAAGGAAAAAACACAGAACATATGGATGGCTTCCTTGTGGATTCTCTTCAAGGCAACCAAAAACGCGTTCCTCAAACAATACTCAGTTCACCCAGTGGTGCCCTTTTCTTCGTCAAAACCAACTATCCAACAAGAGTGCCCTTTTTGCGGACCGCGGCCGGGCCAGGGCTTCAGGGCTTCAGGGCTGGGAGGCAGTGCAAATCAGATATTTACAGTGGCTGGCCACCCTCCCGGGCCCTGGAAGTAGTATGAAAGATTTATTTTATTCGGGTCAGACCCCCTTCCCCCGGTAAAATTTATGCCAGCAGCTGCTTCGTGCTTGCTGCCTGCGTTTGCCACAGCGCGGAACTGCCCGCCCAAGCTGCGCGCCAGCCCTCCAGCCCTCCAGCCCCCCAGCCCCACAGCCCCAACATTTCTGGGTTGGCGAGCCGAGCCGAAGGCAACCTTTCAAGAAATCATGCAAAGTATTTCCCCATTTTAATCCGATGTTGAAATTGGTTGGCAAGTAGCTTGTTGGCCTATTTAAGTGTCCGAATAATTGAAGGGCGACGCCGAAGGACTTTGAATGAAGAGACCCTCCCAAATGGTTGGTGGACATACATATCCCCACCTAAATCATGGCCACCAAAGGTTTCCGAAATAAAATTCACACCCAGTTCAGTAGCACCCCTTTTCCCTTCTTGGGCGGATCCACCAAAAAAGGTCAACCCCAACAAGGCTTCCAATCCTTGTGCTTACCAAACTGGAGAGGGGTCACTGAACTGGGAGTTGTCCATCGGGACCTCATAGGTTCTTTCGCGCAGGCCCAGCTCACCCAGTTCGTCACTGCGGGTGCATCCAGCGGGCCCTGCGCACAGGAGGTGCCTCCGGGCGCTGAAGAAGAAGAGGAAGAAGCCAAGTGAGGGGGTCAAAGGCGCACCTGTTGCTCACTCCCTGAGCTCCCTTTCGGACTTGAGTGACTCTTTTGGGCAGACCATTTGGTGGTAAATACAAAGATCAGACTTTTGTTTGGCCAATCCACTTAAGAAGTGAGCCTCTTTGCCCAAGGCTTCTATGAATCCCCACCGATATAGACCTCCCCCCTCCCCCCATTTCTGGACCTTCCCCATTTTCGGTGATGAACATAAATGCTTCACAGATTGACATCTTTGCCCAACTGTAACCTGATTTGGTTTTCCCTGTTTCTCGAAGTCGTCCCTAAAACGGGCTTCCCTTTGGCTTCCCTTTAGAGGCACTTAAGACATGGGGTACATAAGTTTGCCCAAAACACATCGCTTTCCAAAATCTGACCTTTCTGGCTTCCCATGGTCCATTGCAGGCAAGTGAAACATGGAACGCCAGGCCACTTCCCCTGTGAGGCATGAAAGCCACAGATTGCCAGGCGAATCTTTGGTTTTGGTCTCCCAAACCAATCCAACGCGGCTTCCAATTTCAGGGAGCCCTTCGGCCGAGTGCCTACGTCACAGAGGGCTCAGCTGACCGCGTTTCACCGAATCGTTCAGCCGTGCTGTTGACCGAGTGCAGTGAGACAGGGAGACAAGTGAGCATCAATCAAACTGCTTCTGCTAAAGGTTTCCCTGTTGGGTTGAAAGGGTTCCAGCGTGAAAGATGACACCAGAAGAGTAAGCGCCAAACACGGGGAAAAGGAAATGGTAAAGAAGCCCCGACTTGTTTGGGGGTTGAGAGCTGTATGCTTTCTTCGCAAAGCGTTCACCGTTCAGAACGCCAGGATTGCCTGCTCTCGCGAAACCCCGAAATCCGCGAGTTCAAGCGGGGAGAACCTGGATGCTGTCTTTGCTTGTTGGTTCTTGGGCTCACTTTCTGAGTTCCTGCACTTTAAAGTTTTGGGAGTGCCATTTCACTGGATTGGACTGTTGGCCCATCCACTCGATGAGAAGCGGGTTCTTATGGACACAACCGGGAACTGAGCGATCCAGGAGGTTTCCAGGCAGCTCCGGTTTCTTCCATTCACTGAGAACCAGCAGGTACCCGTCGGATTTCAGGCAAGCTAAAGGTATTCCTTGGTCATTTCTCCATCGGTTATTCGGGCCCAATTCAATTCCCAGACGAATGAGCCTTGGATTTGCGCTCCTTCAGTCGGCTCCGATTTCTCTCGTAAGGGTTGTAACATCACAAATTTGTTTCGTGGGGAACCTGGAATCTTAAATTTCTATGGAGGGTGGTTTTGTTTTTGTTTCACCCAGACGACTACGGATCTTAATAAGGCGCCTCCTCGAAGACTGCTCGGCGGACTTGAATCCCCGCGAAAGGGTCACCCGGTCACCCATTAAAGTTCACACCCAGCTCAGTTCAAGCTGGTACTCTGCCTATTCCTGGATGTCTCACAGTACCTCGCCATCAAGCTCTTGGCTTTAAGTGCCGACAGAAGTTCGCCAAGACGTGTCCCGTTTCGTCCAGGTTCATGTGCAGCGAGCGGCGGGAGAAAACGCTTCGGCGTATGCTTACCAGGCTATAAACTATGTGGAACTAGGACATGGTGGACATTGGATGTAAGGGCCGTGTTCTTTAATACCAATGGTATTCCCTTGAAATCAAAGCCGCAAAGTTGTCAAGGGGATGAACAGATTTTATTTTTGAGGAAAGCCTAAAAAGGGTCGCTGGTTTTCCTTGGGTTGCCCTTGAAACCAACCGCGAAATGGGCAGCCCCGAAAAACGGCAGCTCAAATCTTCAGCGCTCTCAGATCGATCCGACTCCGGCTTGTGCCAAGTCGCCGTGATCGCCGTGTGGCTGTGTGGATTTGGGTTCTTCCTTCCGCCCCGGTTCACCCGAAGGAACCAAGAGTGATCAACTTGTTCTGGCCACTGCACTGAACTTTGCATATCTTGAGCCTACTGAAGTGAACGTGGTGAGGGTTTCTTGAAACTTTGGTTGCCCGTTTGTTTCTCTTTGAACGACCCTTTTTGAGAGTAGTGTTGACGACGTTTACTCATTTGAAATGTCGAAAGGTTGGACTGATGGCTGTGCTCTTGACCCTGATAGCTTGATTGACTCATGGGCACACCCCAAACCACGACCAGTGGTGTTATGTTTGCCAAATTCTGCCTGTCGGTTGCGAGCTCACCGATTCGGTTTGAAATGAGCTCATAACCATGTATGTCCTTTACTTGGGGATCCACTTCGGATGTCAGGGAGTGCAACTAGATTAGAACAAAAACAACTGCAGATCTTGAGTATGGCATCAACGCACGGACGAAAGTTGTCAGTCTTTTGGGGGTCAGGATCAACTCTATAGGTGTGTACGGTCGATCGGTATGTTGAGAAAACCGCGTGTTTTTTGACCAGGGTCTGGAATATGTCTTAAACTTTTGATGGGGAATAAGAAATGGCGGTCTTAATCCAGAGTCGTGACCGGATTTCCTATTTGGTTCTTGAAAGAAGGTGTTTTCTTTAGCCCTTGCTGTCTTGTCTTCGGTGCACTATGTGGTTCGGCTCGTTTTGACCCTGGTTGGGGACCTTGGGTGTGGTCGGGATGGTTGACCTTGGTTTCCTTTGCTCAGGGGCCTGAGAATTGGGTGTTGGCGCTGGGGCGCGGCGCCAATTTCCAAACTCTGAGTCAGAGGTGGTAAGTTGTCAAAAATGTGTTCGAGGAATATTTGTTGGTCACCAAACTTGATCTACCTCGTGCTGCGCCTCGTCATGTAGTACATCCAGCTTTGCCAGGATTCAATCTCCTCACCGTCCCATTGTGAGACAGTCCTCTGCCACCTGAGCTAGAAAGTCATCTTTCTAGACTAGCAGATGTACTACTAAAGGTGCAGCATGAGGTAAATCAAGGTTGGTGACCTACAAGCTTTCCTCGAACACATCTTTGACAACGTACCACACCTCTGGCTCAGAGTTTGGAAATTGGCGCTGCTCCCCAAAAGCGATTAACACCCACCCATGACCATGATCCTTGAACAAAAAGGGCCTCTTCTTTATGTCACAGCCGTTTGAAGATAAACATGCATGCAATCATGAACTGGGCTGTTCAAAGGTAACCCTTAATCCTTCCCTCGGGTTACACAAGGATTTAGTCCCCTTGTGGCTTCCCTACAGGGATTGAGGAAAATCGGATTGGCCAACGGCCAACCCTCCATTTTGAGAGCCCAGCTTGCCCTGCTTCCCAAGGTGTTTGTTCGGCTAGACTAGGGTACACTTAAGATTGCCGGTGGCCACAAGGAAAGGCATGATCAGGGTCCATATGAGTCACAAGGTCTTTGGAGGGTAATTAAGGAGGACTCCCAGCCATAAACGGGTGGGGAATTTGGCCTTTTGTATTCTTTACATGGTTCTGGGGATCGACCCTTTTTATACCGAGTGTTGCCTAGGGGTCATACGAAGAAACATGGGCATCTCGGATGGGATATTTTGCCATACATGGCAGGGAGGCTTTGGATCTTGGAAACCAGGAAGCCCTTAGTCATATTCAGAGCCAAGGGGAGCCACAGCCTCTGAGTTCGATTTCATTTTGAGACACACCCATTTGGGTAGTGACTCGGGGCCATGAAATTATGAGCCAAAGGCCATCACTTCCTTTTGAAGCCAAACAATCGGGCTCCAAACCCACCTTTTGGGGGTAAGGTCAAAAGGAATTTATCACTAGCTTCTCTCTACTTGGTGGTATGGTTTTGTGGTTTGCTTGCTGGGGGGTACCTTTTTCTTGGTGTCAAAAAACAACAACTGGCTCACCTCCCCAAACCACCTGGCTTCAAGCCACCAATTAAGGGTCGCCTGATATGTCACTACTGGAAATCAATCGGAAACCCCAAATCGGGTGCACCCACCTCTGCGCGGCTGGCTCAGGATTTGGGCGCCGCACACTGTGACACCGGAGGCCAGGCTTCACACAGCGCAAAGGCAGTCAGACGCATGCGGCACCCTTTTCCTCCGTTTGCTTGAGACTATGTGTTTTTAATTATTTTCCTGTTGGTTTCAAAGGGAATCTATCACTGCGGCTTGTTTTTGTTTTTCCCAGACTTAAGCAAATGGAAGTGTTGGCGGTGGTATTACAGGGGACAAAAAGCAACACCGATCCAATTTGAGGGTCCATTCCTATTTTGAGCTCAACAAACACAAGGGGATGAATCGGTAACACTCGCATGAAACTGTGGCTCATAGACCCCACCCCAACGCTCCACCTCCAACGACTCCTCTAGGCTCCAAGCCGGATTTTGCTTTGCTCTTGGGGGGGTGTACGCCAGCTTACTGAGAAATCATATCCCCTGCTTGGCTATGTGCTTCTTGGTCCTTTCGGTGGTCCTTTCGTGCGAAATGCCTGGCAGATTCGGCCCCACAACGCAGTGGTGGAGTCGGGGAGCCTCGTCAGCCGGGTCCCAGATAGCCTTCGAACCGTGTTCGGTGCAACGAGGCATGTGTTGCACAGGAAACCGTCGTCACCCCTCATGGTTTTCGGGAACGTTGAGCTTTGTCATGGGCATTGGGAGATTGCATTGACGCATCAATCCGCTCATGCAGCTGCGGACTGCCCTTGTTTGAACCTCCAAAAGTGCAAAACACCAGGAGCATGCAACTTTAAGGAAAGAATTCCAGTTCCTGATCTGCTCGCTGATGTCCGCGTAACTAAGTGCTCGGATCTGGGAGAAGTGTTGGTGCTGGTCTTTGCCACGCTTGCAACATTACTTCTGTTTGGTTGCTTTCGTGTTGGTAGCTATTGATAGATATGCACGTTGCTTGAGATGCTTGAAGTTGAATGCCATTGCTGGTTGTATTTTGAGCCTCAATTGTACTCGAGCAGTGGCTCCTTTTTCTAAGATGAGGGACTCCTTTGTGGATGGTCTGCCAACCTCTTCAAACACCACCTTCAAATCCCAAGTCCGCAGTGACCCAAGCCACGTCTTCGCGGCTTTTCTCAGAGTCGAGCTTCCACGTCGCGGCGTGCAAGGCGTTAAGGATCGAAAGTTCGCAAGCTGGTTGAGCCTCAGGGCGAACTCCTTTTGCGTGGGGCTTTGTGGGTTGCAACCTACGCGTTGATACACAAGGGCAGTCCTTGTTGGACTACTTCATTGGAAACATGTAAGGACTACGTTAAAGTGCATTCCTCTTGGAGATATTTGGATGTGAATTGTTGGAAGGTAATTTTGTTTGCGGTGGTTTAACGGGAAACCAAGAAAAAACACCAGTTTGGGGGTCCAACCAAAACACATGCAGAACTAGTCCCAAGCCAGGGACCATCCCAAGAGCACTTGTCTCAGGCTCCTTGATGGCGCGGGCCCCAAGGCCAAATCGGCTTCTCTTTTCGTTCCCGGGAGTTTGTTGGGGACCTTGTTTTGACTGTTTGTGGGGAGTATCAAAGTCAGAAGATGGGGGTTGATTCCCTTTAACCTACAACTTAGGGGGTGACTTTGATAGTGAAATGATGGGGCCAGTTCACGGTTTGGATTGGAAGACTTATGCAAGCCAAGTGATCCGCATCCCTGAAAACTGCCGCTTCCTGTTGATCAAGGGGGTTAATCATAGGTGCCCATTGGTATGTCTGCCATTGTTCATCACGAATCGCATGGCAACTTCGAGGAGAAGGACACTTAAGGTGCACTGATTCTGAGTGGAGAGCTTGAAGCTGCATGGGTTGGCTTCTGGATATCTGGTCCGATCTGGTCTCATTAGATGTTCTACACTGCGGGCAACTAAGTTCATGGAGTGCCGAGTGGCCGAGCGGCCGAGTGGGAGCAAGGTTGTCTTTACTCTACCTGGGAAGGCTGTAAAAGGACCACCCGTAGGCGCATGTCCAGGTCCTTTCTGAGTTGTCATTATCGGAAACAGGGGAATTGCGTGCGCGTTAGAGGGGGAGTCTTGAGGAAGGAAGCAGGATCCTAGTGAACATGCCGAGAACAGAAGCCTTTGGTCATAAGCGAAAGCAAGAACGCTAAAGCTTGCAAAGGTGCCCATTTGCACTGGATGATGTTTCTGTGTCAAGACCGGGATCCCTTCAACTGGTTGGTTTCGTTTGAGTCTAAAACAAGGGGCTTTGTCTCCTCGCAGTATCCTGGTTGCTTGTTTGGGTGATACCGACCGGATGTTCTGGTTACGTAAGACCAACTCGCCACTACCACCTGCGAGCGCGCCAATGAAGTGAAGGCCCCTTACTGGAGGCGGAGAAATCCTGCACCCGTTGGTGGGTCATGTAGCCCAGCAATTTTTAGGGGGCTTTGTCCGTCGCCATTGGAATTTGTCTGCGCAGCAGGTGCTTACTTCGGGATCCTTTCCTACCCAAACACCTATTCATTTCCAGAGGCAACTCTTTCGGGGTACCCCCTTTTGATTTCCAATTCGGTTTTGGGCGGGCCACCTGAGGAGCTGGGGCTGGATGGCATTGTGAGCGGCGAGCCGGGGGCGCGAAGCTAACCAGGGAAGCCTGAAAGGTAGTTTGGAGGGGGTTAAGGGGGGGGAGGGGACGCTGAAGAAGCCAGGGGAGGTGGTGGCGGGGACAAAAGCGGAACAGACGATTTGGAGAAGAGGGCAGCACATAACCCCCGTGGCTTATGTGTTCTACTTAGTTTCGTGGGGATTTCAACACGAACCCTCGCAGCGGAAGCCAACAGGTTAAGCAACCAGGGCCATCTATTGTCCTCAAAAGGCCAGCTATGGTTGCACGGATCCCAAGCTGACTTGTTGTTTCCAAATGGGTCCAGAAATGGGAGGCGAGGCACAGCGCCCTTTGCACATCAAAAGCCACGCAAATCACCCAATTGTTTCTTCTCCATTGCAAAGCAAAAACGGAAACCGCCAGGAGAGTGCCCACATAGCCCAAAAGTGGAACCAGGGCCGCCTGTGTCCAAGGCTGAAATAGTCATAGCTGACAACTTGACTCCTAGTCCATTCTTAGTTTGGGAAAGAGCATCGGGGGCACCCAAACATTTCTCACCAAAAGCAAGGGCTCCGGCCCCAATCTTCCCTTGAGAACCAAGGCCACAGGGCCAGTTGCTGGCGCTGACGCTGCGCATGTGGGACCGGAGCCTCAGGATTTGGCAAGCAACTGCGAGCAGGATTCCATTTTTTGACTACCTACAAATAGACTTAAACCCAGCGGGTTCGTGATGGGAGTAGTCAAAAGGTGGAGCCCTGACCGGGAGTTTCTCCAAATGGTTGACCACCTTTAGTTGAAAGCAAAACCAAAGGAGCCCAACCATTCGAAAGGAGGACTCCCCTATGTCGTGAGAAACACCCACATGTTGGCTAATCGCCTGACGGCATGTTGAGTTGAGCAACCAAGACAAACCCGGATAACACAAAATCATGGTATCGGGCTGTGTGGAAGTTCCGCATGTTGGGCTCTTCTACATTACATAGAGCCACCGGATCTGGAGTCGGAAGTTTCCAAAAGCATAGCACACCTGGGAGATCCAGTCAAACATTGTGCCAAGCGACCTCATGTAGCGCCCACCCACGAACAGCTGACTGGGTTTCAACCACACGCTGCGTAAACGCAGTGCTCTTGCGAGTGGCCAGGAGACAAGGCCTGCTATGCCCGTCCAATCGAGCTTCCTTCCAACAATCAATTTGGGTGTCCAAAAATGAGGGACCTAGAGGAGTCAACTGCAGCCGACTGAGTTGGCAACAACCCGAGGTCTTCTTGCTCTTGGGAGGCTCGGAATCCTTTTCAAGCATTTCCGGAGCAGACTCAGACTTTGCCGACCCCAGCAGTTCGACACTCAGCAGAAGCGTTTTTTTTGCTATTTACCCCAAAGCTTCTCTTGCTAGCTTACATTTCAGTAAAAGTAGATAGTGCAATCCCCCCATTTGAATTCGACTCCCTACAAAGCTGTGCCATGGATTTTCACCCAGTACTCCGTTGGGGTGATTTTTGAACGGACAAAAATGGGTGTGTCTTATTGAGGGTACCCGTTTTGAGAGTGGTTTAAAGAAAAGGACCCCCACCCATGTTGGGTTCGATTTCTTAGAGACACACCCAAGTACAGAATTATATTGAGTGGGTTTCCTATAATATGTATGTATATATATATATATATATGTATTTATGTATAAACACATTGCGATTTAAACATCACCTGTTGGTCCTTCAAGTGGTTGGGGTGATCGAGGGCAAACATCCATGGGTATCCCATCTCAGGTTCACAAGCTGGAGATGGCAGCTGAAACCGTGTCTGAACCTTAGAAACCGCGACCCGAAATCTCGGGAATGAGTTGCTTGGTTGGTTGGTTGGTTGGTTGGGTGGGTGGGTGGGTGGGTGGGTGGGTGGTTGGGTGGTTGGTTGGTTGGTTGGTTGGTTGGTTGGTTTTGGTTTTGGTTTTGGTTGGTTGCGTGGTTTGGTCTGGTTGGTTGGTTGGCTGGCTGGCTGGTTGGTTGGCTGGTTTGTAGTTGTTTGTTTGTTTGTTTGTTTGCTTGCTGGCTTGCTTGGTTGTTTATGGTGTTTTCCATGGACATCCGGATAACCAGAGAGCATCTTGGGTATACCATCTTTCGGAGACCCTCTCCCTCCCTGGGCATCTTGGATAGACCAGACAAATGTTTCCTTGAGAACCAACGGATGCGCCAGCCAACCAACCAACCAACCAACCAACCAACCAACCAACCCACCAATCACAGCCAGGGTTAGGAAAAAACCAGGGTTAACGCTCCCAAACCAACCCAAAACTAGACCACAACTCTATTAACCACACCCCAAAGCAACTCTAAAGCCGCTGCTAAACCAGCAGCACACCTAACACAAATCAGCTCCAAGCCACCCCAAACCCACTCAAAGTCAACCCTAAACCCGCTGGATGTCAGCCCTTCGCTTCGCCTAAATCAACCCCAAACCACCCCAAGACCCACCCTCATGAAGATCTAAGCCAGCCAAAACCCCCCTAACTTAAACCAGCCCCCAGCAACTCCCAACTGCCACCCCATCAGAGCCAATAGGCAACCCCAGGTCCAAGTGATGTTGGTGATGCCGGGGATGCGGCCAGCCAGCCAACCAACCAACCAACCAACCAACCAACCCACCAATCACAGCCAGGGTTAGGAAAAAACCAGGGTTAGTAAAAACAAAAACACCTCCACCCAAGATTTGGCAGACCAAGAACCCGTTTGTGGGTCCCATATTGCACATTTTTACTTCTGAGCGGTCGACTATCCTTTGAAAGATTGCCCAATGTGTAGCCTTGTTAGGGTTTCAACAAGCAACCAAACGCGCTTGGTTTCTCGTAGGTGTATCTTTTCTTCCCAAGCGGCGGGTGGGGGAGTGGGGCTCGATTCTGGAAAACACCCATGCAGGGCCGTATTTGGAAGGGGGTCCAATATTTTGACATGTCAAGCTCTTGGGCAAAGCTGCAGATGTGTTGTATGATGACCCTGTTGTATGGAAAGGCTCTCACACATTTCACATGTGGGTACAAGGAAACATGTAGGTGTGGGTGGTTTTGTTCGGGATACCCTTTTGGGGAGCTTCTAATGGCCATGGCAAGCAAAAAGAGAGAAGCGTGTTGGAGGCTTTCTCATTTTTAGACACGCCCATGTATGGAGCGGGGCCCTTAGCCCAAGGCCAGAGTCGGCCGAGGTCGGATGTCATGTACGAACGCAAACGACGTGCGCACAACGTGGAGTACTACAAGGCGTTTTGTCAGAGACACTGGTCCAGACATAAACGCACTGATGACACAGAGAGGGAATTGTTGCGATTTTGCCAGATCATTGGCAGTTGGTTGATTTTGGGAAGGCATGGGCCCCTCAGCCCCCCCTCAGAAAAGACCGTGTCGCACCAAATTGCCCCATGATGTTCCGTTGGTGTTTACTCAAAATAGTCGACCCCTGAAAGGGGTGGTGTGCTTTTGTGTCCCCTTCAACCACCAACCGACAAGGGGCTCACTATTTTGAGACACCCATGAAATCTCTTGGGGAGCAAAAGGCTGGGTCAATGCTTGGGCGATGCGTAACGACTTTGCCATTTGCAAGTGTACCACCTTCAAAACCCAGATAAATGAAGGTTAGTAATGGATATTCCCAACCATGATGAATGGTTGCAGCCGCCTTCTTTATTCTTTTCATGGTTCTGGGTAGACCATTTGTATACCAAGTTTTGATTTGCTGGCAGCAAAGGTTTGAGTCCTTTCGGGGTTGTAGACTGAGCAACTGCATGTGAGCTCATGTGGTTTGGCTACGAAGTAATAACTTACCGCTGGGGCAAGGTTCAAGCTTGCTGTTGGGGGAAGCTTGTGAAAACTGCCATGTGATTAAGAATGTGAGGGATGTCTCTGTTGATTTCAAAGGGAATCTATCACTTCTAAAAATATAGGTGTTTCAAGAAGACGTACTCGCAAATGGAAGCTAAGTGAAGCCCAAACTTTCCATGGCCGAAGCTCATAAAGGGTCGCAATGTTCAGAGAAAGTTGCTAAGGGACAGTCCCAAGCATAAATGGGTGCAGCTGCCTTTCTAATTCTTTACATGGTTCTGGGCAGGCCATTGCAATACTATAGGTTTTGATTATGGCTCAGTTGATATGACTTCCGTAATGTAGGACATTGGCCAATGTATGTTTCAGCACGAAAACAATGGGCCCCTATATTGCATGTTCCTTTTAATCCAGCTTAAGCATCACTTGGGCAAATTGTCGTCGAATTTCTGCTTGGGCTGATGTTTGAGGGGGAAGAATAGGGAACCCTGTGTACGCAGGCAACAAGCATAATCTAACCCGTATGCCTTGGGATTTCTTTACCATTTGCTTATGCAACGTCTCAGAGCGACATTGATTTATTTCCCCACAAGAGGGCCCCGCTTTTAGGCATTGCCAGACTTTTGCTTAACCTCATTGCCCTTTTTCCTTCGAGGCTTTCTTCACTTTTTTTCTGAAAGCAAGACCGCAACTTGTCGCAGGGGGTCGAAGTCTGGCCTAGGCTGGTGTAAAAGGCGTACAGCAAGCGTACCAGATGCTGCAAGTTGTAGCAAGCTTGCCGGGATGGAGCGATTGACCCATGATTCATGGTCCCGCGCTGTTGGATGAGAGGCTATTTAATACCTACACGCCTTGTTGTCCGATCATGAGGGTCGTCTATCTTACTTTTGTGCAGATGTGGTTTGCAGCCGGTTGATATGTCTGCAATTCGAGCAGATCCATGCACATGTATATATATATATATATATATGTTCCGTGGTAACCATATAGGGTGCGTATGTCCTCGAACAAACTACACTTCTGGGGGCCAAGGGAAGCCAAAGTGTTGACCGGACCGGCCCCAAGCGGGCGACGGTCAGAGTTTGTGTGGCTTCCTTAAACCCACCGGCCCCATTTGCTGAGCTGGTTATGTTGTTGTTTTTTCCCTAGTTTCAAAGTGAATCTATCACTACTGGAAATGGTCTTAATGTTTTTCAGGGGACTGGAGGTGACCTTTTGTGGATCCAAGTTGAACACAGTGAAGCAAATCTGAAGATGGTTTTAATGTTTTCCAGGGGACTTCAGCAATTGAAGGCGACCTTTTGCGATCCGTTGAAAATAGTAAAGCAAATCATATTGGGGCCTGTGGTTTTCTTGATATCCGAAGGGGCTCCATGCTTTGCCTAATCAATGTGCGAGCTTGGCAGCGTAGGCACACACTGAGAGCCTGCTGTGGGACTACCTGCGACACCGGCCCATCGACTGAGTGACTGACTGGTTGCTGACTTGGCGTGTTTGTCAAAATTTAGTCTACGTCGAACATCTTGGAGCATCCCTCTTGCATCTATGCTTTTCGGGGGCTCTTTCGGGCTGGCATGTGGGGGCCTGAGCCACTAGGTTTGAAATGTTGCAGTGGTTCTCAAAGCCATGAGCAAGCTCAGCTTCTGTCCAATTGGAGGTTTTGGATTGGTGGAGGTTTGAGGTGGTTTCCCGAAACAATTCGAGAACAAAGTGCCAAAGTGGGCTAACATTGCTGGTGTCTGTACACATTGGAGTGCCCTGGCACAAGGTTATTGGCCCCTGGAACAGGAAGACAACAGGACCCACTGATTTTCTACCCTTGGTGTTCGTCAGGTTTGGATTCGTGAATGGAGGATTTTATCCGCTGGTTCCTGGTCGACTATTAGCTGTCAGGCGAGCACAAAAGTCAACCCTCTTGAAGTCTTGGATTGTTCAATGATTCAAAGAGCGAATCCCCTAGGACCAGGGAAAATAATGGTGGTTTGTAAAGAGAACGATGGGTGAAGAGAATGGCGGGCGAACAAACCTTTTATCAGAGGACGAATTGAGGATATTTCCGTAAGACAGGCATCCGTTAGACGTGAAACAGCTATGGCAAAGAACATCGCGAGAAGCGGGCTTTCAACTTTGGCTGGAGGGAGAGAAGGAGACAGAGAGACAGAGAGACAGAGAGAGCGAAAGAGCAAGAGAGAGAGAGAGAGAGAGAGTGACAGACACAGAGAAAGATAAGCAGAAATATAATGAGAAAGAGAAGAGCAAGAGAAGGGGAAAGGGAGAGAGAAAGAGAACGGGCAAGAGAGAGGAAGAGAAAGAGGAAGACGGCGGGAAAGACAAAGATAAAGATATTGAGACAGAAGACGGAAAGAGTAGCGGGAAGAGGAAGAGAAATAAAGAGGGAGAGAGGGAGATAAAGACAGAGAGAGAGAGGGCCAGAAAGAGACACAGAAAGTGGCAAGAGGAAGACACAGATCAAAAGAAAGAGAAAGAGGAGAAGAATTACAACTGCGTCCGATCTCGCTGTTTTCTAGGTAGTGACTTGCTAGATTCACCTACAGGGTGAGCCGCGTTATCCATGTCGGCGGTTGCTCAATGCCGACGCTTGGAGTCCCACAGCCAGAATACTGCCCTGATCAAGAGCCCTCAAATCCGCCAAGCGTATGGATCCTCTCTTTCTTCAGGTTTCCGCATCTCGCAGCGGTTGCTGTGGCGGGGCAAACGCATACGTATTGCTGATAGGACGGAAGACAGCCTCTATGGGACGGCTCAACTACCATAGGAGCATCCTCATTGTATCTCTTGACCCCGAAGCTAGAGAGCGTGATTGGCCAAAATCGATGGGCCAGCTTCAAGTGGGAAAGCGCAACCACAAGGAGGTACTTTCTCATCTGGCTCTCCTGCGGTAATTCCGCGCAACTTGCATGGCAACGATGAACGCGTTGTCAGCTTCGCCGGATCTTTATTAGCAGGGCTTTGAGGATTCAAACTGAAGTTTGGTGCATGTTTTGCTGCAGCCGACAGTGATGAGAAGCTAAATTAAGCTTGAGCTCCATAATGGATCGTATGGGATTTGTTTGCCTCAGGTTTCGGAATTTCTATGAATTGTGCAGATGGAAGTGCCACAGAGTTGTGTTTTATACCCCTGAGGTGTACCCATAAAGACTTCAAACGAGATACACCAAAAACAGCCAACTTTGCTTGGTAGACTTATCGGAAAGGGGGGGATTCCTAATAAGGATGCGCCAGATGGGCGGAGCCTAGGCGCGTTCACTTCTTTGGTGCAAACCTCATCTCGAAAAGCGGCAATGAGTCAGTGGACTCTCAGTCACCGTGGTTTCCTCTCTTGGGATTTGTTCGGGGTTTGAACTCGTTATAGAATGTAATTATAATTTCCAGATGCATATGTATATATTATGTATGTATTTTATATATATGTGTACTTATTTACATACCAGACGCGCAAGAATCTTTTCGGGCACGTACCCCGGGGGCACTTCATGTTTGAGAAAGCCACCCAGCCCCAATTAGTAGGAGGTAACCTTTGTTTGTCCTTTCAAAACCAGTGAAACCAAAGGGTGCTGCATTTTGAAAAGCCTGCTTCCAAAAGCTCGCCCTTTTGCCTCGAGGATTGCTCCTATCATTCCGCCCTGCGACTCCCATCTACCGTCAGGCTGGTATGACTCCGTGAATGCCTGGCAGAGGTGTGTGTTGCTCGTGTGTGTTTGTATGTGCTCGATTGTTCTTGTGCTTCTTTGTTTGCTTGGGTGTTTGTTTGTTTGTTTGTTTGTTTGTTTGTTTGCAGGGTTCATTGCTTACTTGCTTGATTGCGAGCCATCTTGCTATCTTGATTGTGTTCTAACTCACTGTACTGCTATCTTAGGTTTCTTGCTGGCGTATTATCTTAGTTGCTATCGTGCCTGGTGTGTTGTAAATGTGTTTGTTTGGTTGTGTGTGTGTGTGTCTTTGCGTGTTTGTTTGTTGGCCCTCTTCATTAGTAGCACTCGATTCCTGATCCATGAACTTTCACGACGTTGCTTTTGAACGGACTTGCCAGTGACCCCTTCACAGTCAACCTGCCTGTGTGCCCGACTTCACGTCGGACCTTTCTGGCTGTGCCCCAAAAACGGGCCAGTTATAGGGGCCCTGTCTTGTCCATCTCAGCTGCTTTAATCTACGCCTGCTCCAAGAAGTTCGGGCCAACGGGGGGCTATCTCTTACCAGGCTCTTGATAAGGCGAGGGCTTGTTGAGGGCTTATCCTGGGCTTTTCCAGGGATAGCTCCCCGCCCGTCATGGTAGCCCTAAGTCCATGAGTCCTGCTGGCTTGGAGTCAAGCATTCTGGGCCCAAAGGGCCCCAGCTTCTTCAACTCGCCGAACGCGGCGCAGGCGTCCTGGATTGCATCGATGGCTGGTCCTTCGGTGACGCCCCCCAGGTGGCCAGCTTTTCCTAATGATGTGATATTGTTCGACGTGTCTCAATACAGGGAAAACATAGGTGCCCTTTGTAGTTTAGTTGGATTAGAAGTAGATGGCACTGGTTTAGATTGGCTTCATTTTCCATTTGCTATGAACGTCTATTTTTACCAAGAGGACACCCATGTAAAAAAAAAAAAAAAAACAAAAAACGAGCTGTGGTTCCCGTGTGGTTTGAGGAGCCCTTTGGGCAACTCACGATCGCCCCCTTCGGGTTCTATAGTCATAGAGGGGTTCAGCGCTGAGTCTTGGCTTGCATCCAAAAGGACCCATGTGTCGCGCGTTCGGTCACCCAACTCCAAGTGCTTCTCTTCAAACCAATTCCTCCCTTTCCCTTTCTTCCGGGCAAGCAAATTTAGGGTTATTGGAAGGGTGCAGGGTTCTTTCTGTTCCCGGGAAGCCCTGAAGCATTTAGTCACAAGGACAATCAGCACCAAAGTTGTCAATACCCACAGCCCAATTTTGGTCCCTTTGCCGGAGGATCTCTTCTTGACATGGGCAATACTCGCTCCTTGTTCGTAACTTCCTCATTATTTACAGGGATCCTTCTTTTCAGGGAACCATCATATCGAAACAGTTGGTGCTTGAAAAGAACGATGATTGAAAATAGTGGGGAAACAAGCCCGAGACTTTTAAGATGCATTGGGCCCAGCTAGCTAGAAGGAATGAGAAGGGGATTCCTCACGCAGCACCAACTAAGCAAGCTCAAGGCGCGCATGGTGCCCTTGCTATCTGAGACAGGTCACATAGTTATCATGCAGCAGATTCAGGAGCGTTTATTGTGCGTGTTTGTCTCGCTCGTCACTCGGATGGATAGCGATATGGACCTCGCACACAAGCCACAAACTGTACCCTTGCACAACTGCCGACAAAATGAAAAAGAGAAACGCGACGGGGGACTGTAAGGACCAACAGCACGAACAGCTGCGTTTTCAAGAGCCCAGAACCTGTTGCAACCCATAGCAACAGAAGACTTCAATATACTTTCTTTGTTGCACCTTCCTGCAGCTTCCTTCAATTCTTCCAAGCTGAGCCTTGCCACGTCAGACCTCCACATGCCTTCTGAGAATACTGTGACATAAACAGCAACCCTCCAAATGTCCGAGGGCATCCTGTCGTCCCAGCCAGCGGACAACACCCCCACTTTCTCTCTGAGATGGGAGGTGTTCAAGTATTACGCGCTGGTTGGCTTGGCCCGGCAAACCAAAAAGGAAATCAATACAGTGATGATTTCGACAGTGGCTATTGGTTCTTGGGAGCCTATGGATCCTCTGAGAATTGGCTTCGATTTTTCGGGCCTTCCAACAAGATGTGTCTAGCACGGCAACTCTTGAGGCAGCTGCCGGCGGACGGCGAACGGTGCCGTGCCGGCCTCGAGTGTCCCTCATCCTCCCCAATCAGAGCTGGGTGGTGTCCCGTTGGCTTCCCTTCAAAGCCGAATCGGGAGCACCCTAATGAAAAGACACCCACATGAAACCGGGAGGGCTTCCAAGAGGGGATTCTATGGATGGTGGGGGTCCATGTGGATCTACAGTCAACTTGTTTGCTGTGGGAACCCCTCTACGTATTTGTGTTTGTGCCAATTTGTTCCATGGCCAGTGTGTTTGTGTTCAGAGTTGTGGGAATCCAAATCAGTGCCTCCAATGGAATGCCAATTCTCCACAAGGGGAGGCTTCCTGATTTCACAAACGTGGTGAAAACCAAGCATGATTTCAACTTGAGGCTCATGTGAGCTGGTCGCGCCCAATTGTTTCCTGACGTGGGAAACATTGGGTGGCCTTTTCCGGTGCATATCACAATCTGACACCAACGCCTGACCAGAAGGCATCCATGCATGGCTATGAATTTAGATAGGGAGCCTCAAAAAGTGGTAGTTGGATCCCCACCGAAATGATGTCGCAGGGTCCCCCCGCCCGAGAAAAAAGAACAAATGCCCATGTACCGTGACAGCGGGCGGCAGAGGAGACAGGGCAGGCGTTTTTGCCGGCTCCGCCAAGCCATGCCCTTTCCGTGCCCAGCTGTCACTCTCGCAAACAGCTTTTCTCGGAATGCAGCGCCTGTTTTGGCTCTCGCTGCTGCAAGCTTCAGCTAGGTTCGTACCTTGAGATCATGCCCTAAGCGACGGCTGCCATCGCGATTCACACTGCGCTTTTGGGTGCAACAAAAGAGCCATCGCGAGCGCTTAGATCATCTCTTTCGCGAATGCTGGCTATCCATTGCCAATCTTCTCGTTTCAAAGGGTGCCGGAGGAATGTGGAACCTGTTTGACACGGAACAAATCCAGTCAGTCGCATTGTACCTCCAGATTCATCTGGGATTGCGTTTAAGTGGATTTGACATGGGACACCAACTTTCAACCAGTGCCTTGGTTTCACCTCGTCAACTCTGCTCCCATTGAACCTCCCACCAACAAAAAAAGATAGGAACCTTCTTCCCTTGTTTGAGCCCAGGGCAGAATTATGAAATTTAGTATAGGAACCCCTTTTAGCCGTGGATAGCATTCCTATGGATTTGTTTGTTGAGGTTCCTTGACCAGTACACTCTTTTCTGAGGGTACCCGTTTTGGGGTTGTTTGAAAGGGAAACAGAAGGAGACTTACCATTTTGCTGGTTCTCCTCCAAGACCAGTTACATTTTTGAGTAGAGTAAATATGAAACAGATTGGGACAACATCATCTTGGAGTATCCCAGATGCGGGCCAAGTGGTGGGGTGCCCCTTCGAGACAAACCCACATGTGTCCAATGCTCGAGGTTTATCGGCTGAATCGTCGCCGAGACAACGCACTGGTGAGCACGGCAGCCTATAGCTGCAGATCGCTGATTGGGTTGGCCTTTGAGTGTGAAGTGTAGCAGGGGACCCTTGTAGACATTTGCATAGGGAGGTATGTCCACCAACCATGTGTCAGGCTGTTCTCCATGAATGTGAGGGAGTGCCCCAAAGCAAGGGGGGAGTCAACAGGGATCAACCAAACCACAAATTGAGGGTCAGAGTTGTAGAGCAGCATTAGTTTTATTTAGTGTTCCAGTGTTGGTTCAATACTTCTTGCTATTGGTTCAGCAGTCTTTGGACTTGGTTTACTCTTTGTTTAATATTCCTCGGTGCTGGCCCAGAGATTTGTCTTTTCTCTGTTTCCTCCCCTTTAACATTTAGTATTATCACCTTTTCGGGGTCACTGTACCACCCTCTTGAAAACTTATTGGGATAAATAATTTCGCTGTTTGGGGCCTCAGCTGGTTTGGCTGGCTCAGGATTGGCTGAGTATTGGTCCACCACTACTTAGTATGAGCTTAGTATTGGTGTGGCATTGGTTTAGAAAAAACTTCATATCAGCCTAGTATTGCTTTGGTATGTGTGCAAATGACTCAGAAAATGTCCACGTGTGCTCCTCTCAGGTCCGACCAGCGAGCTTCGAAGTGCAGATGCCATGAAAGTTTTCTGATTGGAAGCCGATTGTTATGAATATGCCAGGTTCCACTGACCCAAGATCGCTCGGCCACTTTGGCGGCGACGCGTCGTCAAGACGTTTACGCGGCTCTTCGAAGTCCACATCAGCTTCATTTCTCTAGCAGGGCAAGCGCAAGCGATCCAACGGGGTATTTGCGCCTTTTCACTGAAGCCGCATGTTGTTTGGTGACGGAATGCGAATGGCACGTGGCTTAATTACACAGTTGGCAGACACTCGCACTTGGAGTTTGGTCATCACACGCAGTGACATGGCGAAGCCAGGAAGCAGATTGTAAATGGGTGAGGCAGCTGGCGGTTGGCATTTGGTCCTTCAGCTAGCCAAAGGTTGCGCCGAGAGAGCTCTGAAGTTTAACCCTGGCTGAAAAGGAAGATGGCGGAGTCACTGTTTTGGCAAGCTCTCCTCCGGCTCCAACGAGCTCTTTGAGCTCACCATGATGTAGGTCCTTGCGGATCACTTATTTCAGGTTCGGTTTTTTGTAGATTTAGGATCAATGTGTGATTAACCCCAAATCCATTCTCCCTGGTTCATCAGCTGAGGGGTATTTTCTGGAAAAGGCATTATTGTTCAAAGGACAAAGGACACCTGGTCGATTTCAAGCGGTTTCATTCTTAAAGTGATGCGTCATGTTTGTTTTCGAGGTAACCGGTAAACAGTAAACATGTTTCTGTGGCATAGCAAATGCTTGTGCTTTGGGTCCCTTGGGTTACGATAGCCTTTCACTTGGGTTAAGGGGGATGCCCATGAGCTCTTTGTTCGCCCTTTTCGCCGTAGTCCAGCATTTTGTCGCGGACCTAAAGTTATTCTGGGTCCAGTAAAGTGACATTTGTTTTTTTTGTTTCCCTCATGGTGGCTTTCGGGAAAGAACCTGGACATTTTATGTTCAGGTACATGGCTTCACCTATTCGACTCCACTTCCCAAAAGGCTTTCTGCTCAGATGGCCCCCAAGTGCCCTGGCTTTCTGTGGCAAGGTTGGCCTTGTGAGACTTTCCTCTCAAGTTCGTTATAAGATTCTCCCCGTGAAGTCGAAACAAGAAACCCTGAAATGGGCGTTGTTCTGTCTGTTCTGTCTTGAGCCACCCCAAAAATGGTACCCACGCCAAAAACATGGCACCCATATCACGTGTGCGCCCGTTGTTGCTGGGTGAAGTAACCAAACATGCTGTGTTTTTGTGGGAATCCGGCCACTTCGGGGTCCAAAGCTTGTCCTTCCCGAAGAACTCGCATGTGAGCAGCGCCCTAAACCCTCATGAGCTATCTCTAGCAGGTGTGGAGTAGGCGGTTCTACCTGGTTTCATATTTGCAGCAGAGCTTTCAAAAGCTGTTGTAGGCATGTTAGAACCACAGGTCAATAACAGGCTTGGGAGCGGCTCATTGCTTTCACTACGATTTCTTTGAACCCTTGAAGCTGGAGAGCGGTTTTTCTCAGGCGGCACCCGCGAGAGTGCCTTCCTGGCAGGGGGCTGAGGACTTCGCTGCGCGGTTCGCAATGAGTTTTGATGGGAACCTCAGAACTAGGTCCCCCAGCTAGGTGCCCTTTCTCACCCCTTTTTTGGTTGGGAGGGTTCCCCTACTAAAATAGACTACATAAAAACAACATGGTAGAGAATGTTGCACAGGAATCCACGTGAATCCCATGTCCACCTTTCGGGTTGCCTCGTGTGGATGTGTCACAAAGGTCGGGTCGACTTAGTGGGGAGAAACAACAAATGCAGCTGGCAGGCCAGTTACCGACCGTCCGACTGTCTTGACAGTCGTGTCGGAAAATCAGGGACTCTCCCAAGTGGTGATGTTGTGTTTCCTGCGTGGGCACCACTTGGCTATGTCTTCATTTTTTAGGAGACCCACAAAATGAATAGTTCTTTTGGTTTCCCTTTAAAGCCACTGAAAAAGAGAAGTGCCAACTCAAAAAGACACCCATATTGCGCATTTGAGGTGTCGTTGTCTTAGAAACCTCCGACCAATATCTTGGCTCCAAAGCTTCGGTGGAGAGGCGTTGCCCGTGGGTTTTGCGGTTTTTGAGGCTCGGGGCCCTTTTGGGGCAGAGTTGCAGGGAAACCAAAAATCATTTTTTTGTGGATCCGAGTCCCTATTTTGACACCCAGACTGGATTTGGAATGGACACTCCTAGGTACTTGTTCATGTGGGCATGTCTTTGCATTGGGGACCCGTGGAAGCGTGTGTGTCAAAATAGTGGGGCCCGCAGAATGACTGCTTTTCTTTGGTTTCCCTTTCAGCCTTCAACAAACACCCATGTCCATCAACCGAAGCAAATCGAGCAGCAATCAGCAGCTGCGGCTGCTAGTTCGCTACGCCAGGCAAGCTATAAGCCCTAAACTGTGTTGACCGGAAGCCACACCTAAAGCTGAAACCAACACCCCTGAGTTGGCCCTAAACCTGAACCTTAAACCAACACCCTGAACTTTAGACTGTGATGAACGCCACGAAGTTAACCCTAGCCCGAGACCAAAACCGTAAGCAGCCGCCCTGGCACCTCACAAACGACGGCCATCTACAAAGCATAGCAGCATAGCTTTGTTTGCGGTTCGTCCAAAAGCACTATGGGTCAGTTTGTCTCAAGATAGGGGAACCCTGGGATGGTTTTAGCGGGAAACTAACAGTGAAACCAACCACCTGTGTGATTGTTTGTGGCCATCACCTGGCAAATGGGGAGAAACTGCGGGATTTGCCACTTGAAACGACCCCCGGGTGTCCCAAAGAAAGCACTTTTGAACAGAGGGTCCCTTTGGCGCATCCCCGATTCACTACATGTTGCAAAAACTAGCCATAAATTATTTGAAGCTGCTTCGCTATTGCCCGCTTCTTTCCTTGCAATATCTAGCTTACAAAGCCCTTTGTTCGGGACTGGCAAGCTAAGATCTCAAGCCCAACGTCACGGCAAATTATTTCAATCAGGAAATGAGTTCGGAAAGCCGTTCAGCATCTTGTCTCAAACTAGGGGAACCTTCAAGATGAATGGGCGGTGTCCTTTTTGTTTTCCCTTCAATCCTTGCGCCCAACTAGGGTAATGTTGACGGTCCCTTTTCTGGGGTGGTTTCAAAGGGAAGCCAACCGAAAAACCACCATAGGGGTCCCTAGTTTGACACCATCCCTGGTGAGATTTGGCCAGCATTTCCAGCTCTGGTCTGTTTCACTTGGGAGGGAACTTTTCGGAATTTCCACCGAACAATCACAGCTGTCCCGTGCCCCCCTTGGAATCTTGGGCCATTTTGCCCGTGGCTCAGGGCTCGAAATGGCGAAGGGCGATCCCAACTGCCTGGTCTCGTTTCGGTTCCCGTTTTGGCCGCGAGAACAACCCTCCTTTCTCAAACTGGCGGACCTGCTGGTTGGTATCTACGGGGAAATCCCGATATGAATCAACCCCAGCTTATTCTCCAAGAGTGATGATTCCCCACTAAACCCAGGGACACCCCCCCCTATCAATAAACTGGGGTTGACTAATATGGGGTCACCATTAGCCTCGAAAAAGACGACCCATGTCACATCGACTTCGACTTAGGTGGACAAAGAGAACATCCGGGATGTGACGGGCATGATGGTGCTGAAGCGAATGGTGCGAGCCCCGGGTCCCCGGCCGCCCGGCCACTGGGCACCCACTGCTCTAGTGGGGTTGCCTTTGCTTGCTTTGGACGGGGGAGTCCCAGAGAAAAAGGGCAAAGCAACAGATGCCGAATCTGTTTGTCCATGGCCACTGGTTTAGGTGAATATGGAACCCAAGCCATGTTTACAGAGAGGAAACTTCTCAGGGATACCCTGTATGCCTTCCAAGGTGGTTTTGGCAGGGAAGTGTATAATATGAACAGTATTTGGGTGTTTGTAGTTCACCCTGGGATTGCATCCAGGTGTCTCGTTTATGCATCATTAGCTGAAGGGTCTTGCAAGGATCCATCATCTTCATTGATGCCATTGGACCTCTTAGTCGCCAGGTTTATCATGTTAATGATTCACCCAGCCAGTGCTGACACTTCTGGGAATTTGCCCCAATTGGTGATATTCCCGGTCAGAAGCCTTGTTGTTGCTCTTGCTTCGTTTGGTCCTTTCCCTCTGGCATAATCTCATGCTGTATTCTAGTCTACCCACGTTCCGCGCTCATTTTCAACCAAAGGTAATGGGCCTTGCTCCAGTGCAGAGCTCACCAGTGCAGAGCTCTCCCTGATTTCCTCGAAAGATACACCCTGAAACCCAAATCGACTTCGAAAGCCCACGGGTTTGGCTCGAGGCTTCCTCTTCTTTCCGGAGGTCCTCCAATTTTCCCCTTTTCTTGGGAGGGGGCGCCAAGAGGGAAGTGCTGGGTTGCAAGCGTTCGAGCTCTCTACTGGACGACTGACAATTGCAACAGCGTGATTGTTGCAAGGGCCAACATCAGACATGGCTATGAATTTCAATGGGGATCCAGCCTGAGACTTGATGAGGGTATCTATACGCATGCGATGGGGGTCCCTTTGTTTTCAAAGTTGCCAGGCTTGCTCCTGCAAGTAGTTGGCTTTCAAAGGCAAACAAAAGCGACCATCCATTTCTTCATTGCCAGGCTTCGCTGACCTTTGTTGCGAGTTGCTGTTTTTTGTTTTGTTTTTTTGTTCTAATCATTTTCCGTTCCAGCAACACGTTCACTTGAGGCAGGAGAATCAAAACCCGACCATACGTAGCTGCGGCCGCCTTCTTAATTCCTTGCATGGCTCTGGGTAGACCATTTTAGTACCGGGGTTCGATTGTGACTCATTTGGGGTCGGCAGTTTTCAGAACCCACGTGTTTTGGGGACTCAGCTCGTCACGTCACGTGACTCAGCCGCTGAGGTGGATGCGCTGTGGATGGTGAGCTGCGACAAGTGGCAGCATCCCAACATCCAGAGGCCTCGATCGCCTGTTTTCGGCGTGTTTTTGCTTGGGTGTTTTGGTTCCGTTTTTCTTTAGTAGGAGGCTGCAACAACAAGTTTGTTGCTACCATACCAAGGGTTGGAAAGGACCCTTATGTCAAGCTCAAATAGCATTTTCCAGGTTGTTTGGCGATTTCTATCCTAAGTGGTGCAATATTTGAAGGGAAAGTATGCTTGAGTATGTTGTTTGGTGCACATTTGCAAGCGGAACAGCCACTGTTCGAATAATCCTGGACGTGGACACGACTGGTTTTGACGACGATGATTGTTCAAATGCAACTCCTGCCGAGTCTTCTGGTAGACCTCGAGCCTTGTAGATATGTCGGAAAATGATCGTTTCCCCCCAACGAGTGTCCACCCTTCATTCTGTTCAACCAGTGTTTCAACTCAAAGGAAGCATGCCCGAAGAATGGGAAATTGCGCAGCGGGGAGTTCCCCCAAATCATGTCAGATTTGGGTGGGCTTCCGGCTGAAAGCCCTGCAGGCTTTTCCAGATCTACCACTCTCCGCGGATGCCTTAGGCCTTCAGCTTCGAAGACAGCTTGGCTTCAAAGCAAAGCAGAGATGCTGTCAACCATTCCTCAGGGGAGTCATAATCAAATCCCGGGCAATCGGAGGGCGGGCAGTCCCAGCCATTGCGAATATCGGCCTTCCTCTTGAAGGGCACCACTGTTTGTGGGAGAGACACTGCGCGAATTCTCGTCGGGAGGCCAAATGGCATATCTTTTCAGATTGTGTGCGATATCCGCGGGCATTCCCACACTTGACAACGTTTAGTCAGTTGAGGGAGCTTGATTTACTCCCGCTGCGGTTGTTGAATAGAGGTCCATGTTTGCCCTACCTGTGAACCCATGGCAGGATGACACTCACACCCACCAGTCTCAGAACGCTGTCATTGGCGAGTTTATCAAGAAGCTTCTCAATCTTTGCAAACCTTAATGCCCTGCTTGTGCCACCCTACGTAAGCGGATTGATAGCCAAGCCCCCAACAAATATGGGCATGAATTTCATAGGGGACCCTTTTGTGGACAGCAGATTCATGTCCACCAACCACATTGCAGGTGGTTCGCCATTGAAATTGATAGCCATATGTGAGCATCTGGCAAATGATAGTCTATTCGCTTGAGGACATGAGGGGCCCGCCCAAGTTTCACTTGAAATGTTAGCCCTCTCAACGTTCCCATCTTTAGGGGAAACGAGTATTCGCCCGAGGCTCATGTCGTTACTTCAACCCTTTTTTGACCCCGAGCGCGAAATGGGCCACTTACCCTCCCACCCACTAGCATGGCATCTATGGGGGGACGCAGGGCCCAGTTCATCTCGTTGTATCGCAAGGATACTGTTGTGTCCGTATTTGAAACAGTTCCAGTGATTTTCGGGGTCACATGTGCAATAGTCACACGACCCCATCTACTTGGCGGGGATGATCCCCAATTTACAAAGAATGGAGAACCAATGCACAACAAGGGAAGACATGGCCATGACCAGGAGTTTTCGCCGAGGGGAGCCGCGCCTTAGGAGCTACATCATCATGCGCATGGAGTGCGCCGGAGCGGTCGTACGATCGAAGTGTCAACTGGTTTTTGAGATGTGGAGATAGGGAGGTTATATACCATCTATTTACGGGCAGTATCTATTCGCCATCGGGTCCCCAAACTTTTTGAGCGTGCATTGACATGTTGCAGACTCCAGCCGACGTAGGCACTAGACTCTGGGGCTATTGCATCATGGACAACCAGTCTTCTGGCGCGTTTGCGAAAAGCCTGATAAGGTTGCGTGGTGAGGCAAGCAATTTGACGAGCTGCTTGGAAATCTGAGGCTGGTGAGTCCTAACGTGAGGCACGCTCGCAGCTTTCCTTTTGCCAAAAGCGATGTCTTGTGATGTTGTCTTGGTTTCGCCAATACATAGCTGGTCTTTGCCGTGACCTTAGCCTCCTAAACCTGGCGGAAACAAATGACTCCATGATTCCTGCAAGGGGTGAGACCTTTTCGGGAGGAGCAACGCCGAATATCTTGTGCTTCTGTGGCACCCTAAGCAAATGAAACTTCACGTATCATGAACATGATGTTCACGGCACACATCCAGAATGTGTTTTTATTCTCCCCAAAAAGAAATCAAAGGGGGACGATCTGTTCATATTTGTTCTCCAGACTCCCCGGTCACCCATATTGAACACATGCAAAAGGTGGCCCCTTCAACGCTTTATCTTCCTTCAAGGCATGCGTTTCGAAAGGATGCTGCATGCTGGATGCAACCAGTGCATTTTGCCCACCCCCACCCCCCCCACCCCTGTCCCAAATTTTGGTTTGGGGGAGTTCTGCACCTGATTTCCCTTTTTGTTTAGTGCTTCCATTCGGACTCTGCCCCCACAGTGTGATGATGTTTTGCATCAACTAAAACGGTCTTCCAAATTGTGGTAACTAGCCGTTCTCGGCGGCAGTGGTTCTCCTGTAAAGGCCCATGTCCCGAAAAGGCCCCCTTTGGCAGCTTGCAACTGGGGCCGTTCTCTGCTTTCTACACGTCCCGTGTTCTACGTGCCAGGTATGCGGGCGCCAGCAGTTTGCACGAGCGCCTGGTGCGCAGGAGTCGAAGGCTGGCAGCTCGAGCGGTGAATGGCAGTCTTGCAGAGTCCAACCAATCCGAGCCGGCGCGGGATGAAAATTGATCAATGCTGCAGTTGTTTGGTTGTTTCCTTTTTGTTGCGGGGGGAGCAGCACATGGGCTCGCACGTTAAAGAGAGGCTCTGCATGTTTTCCAAACTCACACCCTGGTCGGTTTACCGCCGATTGCGAGATTCAGCTGATCAATTGTTAAAAATGAGATGGTGTTTGGCTGGTCAGGCGGTTCTGTTCAGTGGATCAGCGCATGATCGGAGAAAGGCTGCGTTTCATCCGGGCTATCTTTTCCGCCTTTTTTGGAGCTTGCGTTGTTTCCCTCCTGGACGACACAGGAAGTTGTTATGAGTCATGGGAGAGGAACGGAGATCAGAGATGCGCGTTGCCCTTCTAGTCGACAAATCCTTTCTCCCCCCACAAGCCTTCCTGGCAGCTGGGATGTTGAGCTTGCCTAGTTGCCTGAGGGTCCAACCGGTTGAGTGCTTTGGGTTAAAGAGAACTCGCCAGAAGGTAAGGGACGCTTAGAGGCTTGCTTACATTGCCTTCATGGCAATGACAAACAAAGCACCTGTTTAGCAGTTTGGTTGGGGCATCTAGAAGTTTGTGGGGCTATCATGTAAGTGAAATTAGGGCTCATAGCCAATTTGGTGTAACACTTTTGTTGGGATTCGGGCCCTGGCAGGGACACAAGGTGCGCAGGCGCATTCGTTGAAAGACCTGGGGATGACTTTCCATATAGGACAAGCTTGCTGTTTTTGCGGCCTTGCTTAAATCTTGAGGTTACCCATGCACCAAACCACCTTCCAAGCCACCAACTAGGGGGAAGCTAAAATGATGTTTTTGTTGTTTTGCCTCATTGACCCAAGTGTTAGAGCGGATGGGGTTGCTTCAAGTGGCTCCTAAAGATGATGTGCACCTGAGCATAGAACATTGGTGAAGGGTGGCTGTGTTGGTTTCGTTTTTTGCAGGAACCAAGTTTCTGCCTTATGAGATTGGGTTGTTGGAGCAACTGGAAATTGGGGGCAGCATTATGTTTATGGTGATATTTTACCACTGGAAGGATGTGTTGTTGATGTGTTACCTGAATTGAACCCCGGGTTTATTTTTTTGGAAGTTGCTAGAACACTACGATGTCCTAGAGTCCTACCTTTTTTTAATGCCTGAGTTCATTCTTGTTGGCATTCCCTCTAGAACACTGCACATTCTCGCCGATCCGGAGGCCTCTGTCCTTTCTCAAGACGCAACGGACTCAGAGAGAGAGGTGGGAGGTTCAATCAAAATGGACCCTCTTTTGGTATCCAGAGGGAAACTGAACAAAAACCAGCGACGTTGGGACCCTATTTGGAGAAACACCCAGGTCGCTTAGGAGCAGGCACTGTCTCATTCATTGTGATCGCCCCGGATTTGGGTATGTGTTGCCGTGTTGCCCCAGGAGGGAGCTGTGAGAGTATTGGCCCCAAGGCCCAATTCACTCGTTTCCTTTAGACTCTGACTGATCTTCCTAGGTTTCAGCCTCCAGCCAAGCATTGCCTGGCCTTTTCTCACAAGAGCGTCTCCGAGACTTTGGCGGTTTGTGCCGAAGCCGCAAAACACACGCACACACAAACACAAACACAACACGAGTGTCTGTCAAAACAGGGCTATCCCAAAAAGAGTGGTGTGTCTTCTTCTTTGTTTTTTACACAGACACGCACAGACACACACACACACACACACACAGAGCCACACAAACACACAGACACCCAGACACCCAGACACGCAGACAGACAGACAGACAGACAGACAGACAGACAGACAGAGACAGACAGCCAGCCAGCCAGGCAGGCAGGCAGGCAGGCAGGCAGCCAGACAGACAGACAGACAGACAGACAGACAGACAGACACACACAGACACACAGACACACAGACAGACAGACAGACAGCCAGACAGACGACAGACAGACAGACAGGCAGGCAGCCAGCCAGACAGACAGACAGACAGACAGACACACAGACACACAGACACACAGACACACAGACACACAGACACCCAGACACCCAGACACCCAGACACGCAGACAGACAGACAGACAGACAGACAGACAGCCAGCCAGACAGACAGACAGACAGACAGACAGACAGACAGACACAGACAGACACAGACAGACAGACAGACACAGACAGACAGACAGACAGACAGACAGACAGACAGACAGACAGACAGACAGACAGACAGCCAGCCAGCCAGGCAGGCAGGCAGGCAGGCAGGCAGCCAGACAGACAGACAGACAGACAGACAGACAGACACACAGACACACAGACACACAGACAGACAGACAGACAGACAGACAGACACACACACACACAATGAGTCTCGCAATCAAGTCTCCAGACCCGGCACCAAGTGCCCCTTTTTTTTCAAAGGGAGGCGGTGGGCCGTTGGCAATCTTTAATGTCCCGATCTGGAGGATGTTTATCTTGAGGGCATACCTGAACTTTGGGTTCAACCAAGCCGCGGAGGGCTGGCTTTGCTATAGGCTGCGACCACAGCATCGGAAGTTTGGCCTAACTTGTTGTACGGAACATGACTGCCTAGCACTTTGAGTGAGTGGCTTGCTCTTCCCGAGTTTGCCCAAAGTGAGAAACGCCACAATCTTCACGACCTTAGCAAAAGGCTAAGCTTTTGCAACTGACGATTTCCCTAGCCAAATTGTTTGTCAGTTTTAGAGAAGGCCAAGGACGTTTTTGCCTCTAGCGCCGAATCCTGTTCTCCTGCCACGCACAGACATCCACAGGGGACGGTCACAGCTGAGAGGCCAACTCCTAAGTCGTCGCTGTCGCCAGTGAGCATCTGGGGGGTTCTGCATGTCATCCCTTGGCCCTGGGTTCAAACCACCATGAAAACAATGGGTACCCACCCACCCACCCACATCACCATGTCCATCTCATTCCTCTATGCTCGCAAATGCACAAGCCCAAAATCACCCAACCGCACTCGAATGAGAGCCCCTTCACGCAACCTTTACGAACGAGCCGGAGGTCCCAAATTCTTCAGCAGATCTTCCGTGGAGTGTCGCACCTGCACTTGGGCCCTCGCGTGCCGGGGCGCTCGGGGGCTCGGGGGCTCGGGGGCTCGGGCCTGTCTCCCCAGGCCTCCGGTGGCAAAGAGGTCGTCCCCAAAAACGGAGAAAGGCTGAGGTTTATCCATTCGTGGTCATTTCAATATACCCAGACAGGTGGGCAGCTTGTTCTCCGTTTTGGGAGGGAGGTTCCCTTTAAAGTTAGCTAATGCACCAAGCCAACGAGTGCCGATTCATTTTTCACATGGCTACTGAGGGTTTGGGACACAGTTGATCAGGTTCCTTGTAGAACGCCCTTTGGAGCATTTGGCAACGGTGGCTGTCAAATTGGCCGAACGAACGTATCCCTTAAGGAACACAGTTGATGGACAAAACCCTGCACCAGGTGATGGGTGGTTTATCCCAACTGGTGCAGAGTACTGGGCCCCTGGTTGGCGGGTCCCCTATTAATCAACCGCGGTTGATTAACGTGGGGTCAACATTGTGGAGGGGATTGTCCATCAACTGTATTTCCCTAGTTGAAGATGTGATTGTCCAATCATGTCCTGAATCTTGTCTATATCAGATGTTCACAACAACGCCGATAAACGTCAACAGGGATGTACTGTAAGGTTCGTGGCCAACATGTCCTAATTTGTCTATGGTCATTTTTCTTCAAGAAGTACCCCCCCCCCCCCACAAACAATATTTACCGCGCCGCACTCGGATTAGCCAGCTTGGCTCTTCCTTTCTCGTGAAGGCGATGTTCATTAAAAGTCGCATAGCAACCAGTTTTTTTTTTATTTTATTTTATTTGTTTTACCGAGCGAACTCTCGTGTTGGTTTGCTTGGTCCCATTTTTACACAACCTCTGGGGGAAGGAGTGCGTTATCCCTTGTGGTTTCCCTTGCACCCAACCTCAGTTGCTTTGACCTGTTTGCTCAAGCACAAGAGTAGAACACTGATGCCCCTGATGCCTGGATTTCTTTGGAGTCCCTTGCCCCAGGGACATGTTTACCCTTCCGATGTCAAATGGCAGCCCATGTCCAAATCTGGTCTGGTTTGAACCCAATGGGTTTTGAATATGAATGATTGGATCCTTTTCCCACATGCTTGGTGATGTCCAATAAGAAGAACAAAAACTGCTGTGACCCTATAGCCATCAAGATGCACCAATGTCCAATTGTTCCCATCCCACCATGTCTGATGGATGCTTCAAGCGCTTTGTTGCAAAATTCCTGGTCCAGTTTCCATAAAATTGCTTCGCCATATACGACCCCCTCATTCACAACGAGATGTCATACACAAAATCCCAGCCGGCTTGTTAACTTCGGGTGAAGAGACCACTAGAGAAGCGAACATGGCGGTTTTCAGAGGTGCCACCGTGACATCAAACCTGAGAACTTCGACCTCCATGAGGCCACGGGCTAGCGACCGAGGGTTCAACTGGCCCACTGAGGGGGGGAGGCCTATGGGAAAGGTCCAAAAGCGCGACTTGGCAAATTTGTGGGCGAAGTACTTGCTCTTCAAAGTCACATGGAGCTCAAAAGAGGGGTTTCTGAAAAGTTCCTCTAAAATGCCGGGGGGTGGGGGGTTCCCGTGAATCTGCAGGAGTGGCAACAATGTGCACTTTGATGTCCCGCTGTTTAAATTAAAGAACATGTATCACTACTGGAAATATGTTAACTATCCAGGGCACGTACTCGCAAATGGAGGAGAAGGTAAGCAGGGGAAACCATGCAACACCCAAACTCTGGTTGCTGGTTCATGGCAAATGGAATCACCCGGTTTGGGGGGAACGTTTTTTGTTTGTTTGTTTTTTTTTCTCGGAGATAGCAATGGCATTTTCCTGACTCAGGACCTGGAAACAACATGATACGGGTGCGTCTTTTGTTGAAGTACCAGTATCCCTTTTTCGTGAAACCAAACGGAAAACCGGAACTGTTTGTTGGGGGGGAGGTCCGATTCCTAAAACAACAGCCACGCACATATGAAAATCATGATCACCTTTTGCGACCGCTGAATATTAGCAATACACAAGCAAAAGGGGGAAACCGGTAGGTGGATTTGCTTGCAAGAAAACATGTTCAATCTGCAGCCATGGGTTCCTCGTTCCCCTCAAGGTGGCTCCATGGGAACCACTTGGAAACCTTTGTTTTGGGAAGGGGGAAGGTTTAGGTACACCAGACAAATACAAAGCAGGTCCCTGAGCTTAGGGAGCAACATTCAGGAAAGGGCTATGGGAGGAGCCCATATGTTAGCCAGGCTCGGTCCCTTGCGTGTACCAAGGGACCCCATTTGATTCCCCATGAACCAACAGGTACAAGCCTCGCAATGCGAGCATTCGGGTTCCGCTCGCTTGTGGCAAGGAACCTCAACGAATTATTGGCCACCGAATTGGGTAAGGGATCCTGGCCTTTGTTCATGGGTGTGTCACGTTTTGAGGATACCTCTTTTGTGTGGCTTGAAAGGGAGCCAAACAGGAGTAAAACCAAGCCATTGCGGGGGTTCTGATTCTTAAGAAAGGACACCTCCGATGGCCATTCGATGGCCCTCAAAAAGCTTTGGGCGTCAACTGGATGACTGGACGAGTTTGGTGGTTGAAAGAGGATGCTGTTAATCCGAAATAAGAAGTAATATCAGAATGGCTGGTACTGATACGAAGTTTTTTTTTTAGCCACCCTGATGACATCTATGAAGGCCTCAATGGTTTCATGGGGCAGATCGGGCAAATCGTACAGATCGCATCGGGCCCCTCACATTGGCAGATGAACGCATGGTCATGGTGTGCCCCAAGTAGCTTCAATCAAGTGTCGTTCATGTTTACAGTTTGTTGTTTTCATGTGCGGAGTGGTTTTTGAAGGGGATGGTCATGAGTTCTGGGGGTCAGTCCAGGTGTTGGACTGATTCAATAATCCAAGAAACTGCAGATGCTTGTATATCGCCTCCCAGACTGGCGCGGGCCCTCGCGTAGGCAGCTCACAGCTTGAGGGTTGAGTAATGTTCAGTGTGTCCCTGCCAGAAAACAGAGCGAGACCTCCCGGTTCAACATTTATGCAATACCCCAGGAATACAAGGGATGATTTCCGGCCACCCCTTATTCAGTTCGGGTGACCATGCACCAACAAAACCTTCAAGGCCTGGGGTTTGTGAATGGGCCTCATATCAGCCAGCTCAATGCTGCAACCCAGTTCTCGCCCTCCCAATGGGCATTGGACTCGGGTCGAGATCTTGTGAGCTACTAGCCTGCGTTTGAAGGTATCACCTGTTCAAAGTCTATGACTATGTTGTTGGTTACTTTGTTGATTCTGATCATTGTGCGGGCCTGCAAAGAACATACCGTATTTTGCTTGCATCGGGGCGGGAAGCTTAGTAACGGTTTCTGCTGCTGGCGAGGGCCTGTGCATTTGCAGCGATCCTGCCAAAAGTCAATAGGCATTGGGCGCTCTGAAAAGCGATCTAGTGGCATACTCATCATAATTAATTATGTATCCGTACTTGGAGATTGAATTTCAATTCATGTTCTGAATCTTGTCTACATCACACGTTCGATGGGGATGTGAGGGTCGGTCGAAATTGCAGTCTTTGTCCCTATATTTGGGGAGAGGGCGGACTCACTCAAATTTCTGCAACGAGCGAACTTGCTAAACTTCCCATCTCCACCTAGAAAAAAAACAAGCAGCTTTGACCTCTCATGTGCAACAAGTCATGGAGTCATGTTTATTCGTTTCGACGACCCAGCAGACATCACCACTCTTCATGCAACAAGAGGGAGTCTGTTTTTCCAACCGACCTGTTTTTTTGCACCTTCGTGTTTTGACCTTTCTGTTAAGGGTAGCAACCCAACATTTTGCAAGTCCTGAATTGGTGGTTTGGATTGAAAAGGGTTTGAGCCCGTACCTGGCAGGTAGGGAGAAAGTAGGTTTTGCTTTGGTCGAAACGAGCGATCTCGTCAGACCGCGGACCTGCTGACTCTGAAGCTCACGGGATTTCATTTGGCCTTTGTACTGGAGGAGGTGAGGAGTTTCTCGGGGCATCGGGGCAGAAGTGAGCATAAGGCCGGGAACCACCAAGGCCTAAATTAGACTTTGCTTTGTAGGGGGCGCGACCACCAAGAGTTGTCAGAATTGTAGGAATAGACTATTACGTAGTAATTATTTGGCTGCTTTCTCCTAAAAGTTGACGGAAGGAACCCGAACAGGTTGAAACAGGGGACTGGCCCAACCCTGTTAGATGGGGAGGCTCTATTTGTTTGCAATTCCCTTTACCAGTTACAAGTTTCTTGTATGCGCCATATTTACTTGGAGCAAGCAAGGCAGTAAAGTTCCAGCTCTGGTCAAGAGCGCGTCAATTTCCTGGTGGCATTGATGATTTCCAGGCGCTTTGCCAGATGGAAAGGCATGTGGACGGAGGCGGTTTTGAGTACCCCGTCCCACTGACATTTGCGCACACCGCGATCCAGAACAAGGTCAAGAGCATTGGAGACATGGTCAAGCAGACGTGATGCTTTATTTTTGCCACCGACCCGTTGAAGTTTTGCAGCAACATATGCCGGTCATGCATACCTTCCATTCTGAGCACTGCCTCACCTTCGCTAACACCCCGTCCATTTGTTGGCCTCAACAGTCCTTTTCTCAGGGGCTGGCGGATGCTGGCGGTGCTTGTCTTATTTTGTTTTGGTCGGGCATTCGTTCTCTTCGGATGTCTGGCGGGGCAGGCCTCGACGATACGACGATACTTCATCCTCTAAAACCAGGAAGTTTAGTTTTGCCGGGCAACCCTGCAAACACCGCTTTAAAGCGAGCCGACAACTTTGGTGACCAGAAACATGTCCTTTTGGCCTTTTGGTTGCTGACTTGTTTCACATTCCTTCGCCCTTTGGTCAGCTTGCTTAGTTGGGTGTTCCGATGCTTCGCATTTTGTTCATCAACCAGGAACTCAATCCAACCAATCAATGCGCACCAAATGACGGGAAAGATGACCCTCCAACAGCTGCCAACAACCGACACGTACGTTGGGTGGCCTCGGGATGATGCGTTGTACGCTCCGTTCGTGTTCAGCAGCCCGTGTTGACAGAAAAATAAGCAGCACCCCATCGCAAGATGTTGATCTCTTGGGGACCCGTTCGATTGTCCACCAGCTATACCGGAAGTCACACCGTCGAAGCTTCGGGTCCCCAACCTCTCGGCTCGCAACCGCGCCTCGCCTCAATCGGCTGTCAGGGTGAGTGCCAGCAGCGCTGCGGCACCGTTCCCTTCGTAGCCCCAGAAGTTCTCAAGAACGAGAGGCGAATTTCCGGCCGGTTGTGGTTTGGCGCATCGACAGCTTTGGCATCGATCCGAGTCGTGAAAATGGACCGGCACCCAAGGGCCCGTTATTGACATGGTACATCATGGTACCCAAAGTGCCTCTCTATTTGGGGATGGCAAATGGACTGCCCGACGTTGCTTCGATTTGAGCGAAGCGGCAGAGAAAGCCCCGGCCATTGATCATGCACCATACCCCCGAAGGACACACGTTGTTCTTGCCCTAACCTTCAAACATGGATGATTGCTTGGGTTCTGTGTTGATCCATCTGCAAGACCTGTACGGTTTGATTTGGGGAATTCCAAGTTCGAGCCCTGTAAAGCTTCGTGGTGCATGACCCTTGTGGCAGCCCACTCCTGGTGTGGAGTTAGCACAGCTAGTTTAGTTCCCTGGTTTCCGTTTTCGCAGGTTGGAGGAAGGAGAAACACACCATGACAACGATATGGAATCATTATAAATATATGGATATCGGTGTTTGCTAGAAAATTGGGGACCTCTATACGTGGTTGGGGCGTGACGTATGTCGCGTAAGTGGGATCTTTGCTGAAACCATGTTGAGGTTTACTGCATATGGACCAGCATCAAACACATTATTTGTGTTGGAGGCAAAAAAGCTGAGGTAGGTCAGGTGTGAGTGATGTCCGGGCAAGGGCAATTCTATGGATGGCCGGTTGGCAGTTCTGTCGAGCCATTTGTTTCGATGGTGTTTTCCTTGTAATTATCTTGATCTGTTGATGACAGGCCGAAAGGAACCCCACAGACATATTGCGTGGGTTTGCCGCTTGAAAACCTGACGTGTTCGACGAGACACGGTTCAGTTGAACCTGCACTGGAAGCCTTTGGCATTCTTTTCCCTTGAGTGGCGCTCGCTTGGACTGGGTCATGGGCTCCGTTTTGCTAGGGATCATAGAGTCTGGGTCATCGAAACGCAAAAGTGCAGAGGAGGAGATTATTCCCAAGCATGGCGGCTCTCGCAAAGACAAAACCAAGAGCAACAGTCGACCTTTGCTTTTTTTGTGGAATTGCGGCGGGCACACTCACCCAATTGCTGTGAGGGAAGGGGGGGCGGGCTACTCACCCGAGTGCCATGTCAGTTGGGGAGAATGAATATTGACCGTGGCTCACATGATGGCGCAAGAGCCTAAACAGTTTTGGGCTTGCGGGGTGCTATTGGAATACCTCACGATAGGGCAAGAAAAAGTATGTGTGCGATTCTTCACTATGATCCCTTGGAGTCGGCATTTGGGAGACTTCCGGCTGACCTGCAGGTACCACCCCCTGCCGGTGGACATATGGGGCTCCTCGGCCGGGACGGGGTTCGGGGATGAGCTGAGTGCTTCCTAAAACTAGGGTACCGTCTGAACAAGGTGGGGTGCTTTGTGCTTTTTTTCTTGGGCGAGCATCAAGTAAGAGTGAGGTAACCCTTAGTTGGTTGCGTGGATTGGTGCAAAGGTAAATGGGAAACCACCCTTGAAGCTTTGAAGTTAGACTGGTTTGCAAGCCTTAAGCCATATTCCTTTGGTACAGAAGCAACAGTCAAGACTTCCCTCATCTAGAACCCCACAGCGCACTGGGCAACAAGCGGGGCTGAACCAAAACAGGTCACGTGGTTGCATTCTCACTTCTTGTCTCAACACGAGGAAGCCTCCAAAACTGGTTTCATATGTTTGCTTGCCATCAAAGCCTCCCTAAAAGGGAATCCCCGAACAAGAAGCACACACCCACATGTTTACTTGTATCGACATGTGAGACGTGTGAGACTCTTTCCCTACGATAGGGGCTCATCATACAACACATCTGCTGCTTTGCAACATGTTGGACAGTTTTGGACCCCCCCCCCTGGTTGGGAAGGGGACAAAAGATGCAACCACCAAGAAGATCCAAGAAGCCAAGCGCGGTTGGCTGCTTGTGAACAAGGCATCTAGGGCCCATCTTCCAATGGATAGTGGACCGCGCAGAAGTAATGATGTGCAATATATGGGACCAACAAACGGGCTATCGGTTTGCTTCGCCCAAATCTTGGGTACACCAAAAGTTTTGGAATGTGAAAGTACCCCCTGGCTGACTACCCCCCCCCCCAGAATTGACTGTTTTAAACAGTATATTCAGATTGTGTTTGTGCATGTCGACTACCCCAAACTATGTATGTGTGTATTTTGTTTCTGACAAGACCGTTTGGAAAGAAAGGGTCGGTTGAACGGAAAGTACAATTTGGGACACGGAGGCCATGGTCAGGGAATGAATGAGACGCAACCCCAAACCAAAGGGGGCAGCAGGCAGGGTTTCTCCATATATCTCTTTAAAGGGACCTCGAAAAGCGGAGTGTTGGTTCATTGGAACGCCTTGACCAACTTTTGAGCAGGAATCCTGTTTTGACCTCTGAAAAGTGAAGCAAATAGGGCGAATTTCTCCGCAACAAGTCTGGCACTGCCGCTTATTCCATTGCTGTGAGTTTTTCCGGTTGAATCTCAACAGCGAGTCAAATGATGATCAAACGCCGCCCCCCGCATTTGTTTTAGCGACGGCCGATGAGTGGTTTCCCCAATATTCCAGAAAACCTCTGTCAGTGCTGAGGGTCCCTCTGATCGGATACATAGTTTGGGCGGAAATCACCCACCTGTCCAGCTGATTTGGACTTCGGATTCTCTTTGGGTGTGTCTTCGTTTGGGAACCCTTCAAATGGTGGTGTTTCTTTGTTTTCTGTGAAAACCACCCATTTCTGTGGGTAGCCTCAGAAGGACACCCTCATGACCGGTCCGGGTGAGGTGTTGGTATCACTGTGCTGGAGATCTTGTGCGGGTCCAGATGTGTCGATGAGGCCGGGCCTTAGGGCAGGCCATCGTGTCAAAAAATGGAACCCTGGCCCTTCCGTTTCCAGACCTTTTGGGTTCCTCCCGTTAATTTGAGGGGAGTAGATGGCACCTCCCCATTTAGGTGTTTGTATCCTTAGGGACATAAAGAAACCGTGCCATATGTTTTTTTTTTCTCTACTTGGGCTGGTCAGATTCCCGCTGACAGACCAATGTACTGGTTCTTGGCTGGCTTCTCTTGGTTTCGGTCCACGATGTTGAGAAGCTCCACGGACAATACTGGGATCCCGGTTTTGGGTCGCGTATCGGTTTCTGGTACTAGTATTGTCGGGTAAGAAGTTTTTTACCATGGCAAATTTGGGGATTCAGAGCTTTGACTGCTGTCACCATGTTGCTTAGGCAGACTTTCTCACAGACCAACCTGGGGTCTCAGAAACTATGACACACAATCTTGAAGATAGCTTTTTTGACGGCATCGCCGACGGAATCTTGGTTTGCCTCTTTAAGCGGCGCGCGTGTTTTACCTGTGTTAGGTTCTTCTCTTTGAATCTGCCAGCTTTTAGAGGCATTCCGAATGAGAGGTGGCCTTTTCGCTCCAGCAAGGGGTCCGAATCCTAATTTGAGAGCCAGGCTCTGGCTGTGGCCATGCTAAATATGTTGGTACCAAAAGTCAATGGAGAGTTTCTCACCCAAATTATAGATGTAGAACCTTTGCAACGATCAGAAGCTGTACAATTTTGAGACATATTCCCTTTTTCAAGCGGTTGGGCATGGATCTTGGATTTTGGACGAGTTGTCCCGTTTGGTTCCGACAGTTTCAATTGGTCCATTGGTGCTCTGCCGCAGCCACCGGGCAACTGCAAAAGGCTTGAGGCTTGGTCAGAATTTTACCTGGTCTGTGGTCCATTTGGGAGGGACATGGGGGACACATAACAGAACAAAAAATCCCGGTGGTTTATTATAGGGGACTCACGATCAGAACGCAAAGCAACTCAGACGGAATTTGGACCTACTCGAGGCTTCGGCAAGTGGCCAGTAGCCTAGAAACGAAGCAATCAGTTTGTTTCGGAAGTTTTGGAACCCTTTGGTGGACATGGACATGGAACTCAACAAGCTCAATGTCCACATTTTGAAGGTGGGTGTTAGTTTTGTGTGCGACCCTTTTAGAGGTTGGGGAAAACCCACTAGTTTTTCTCCCTAGGTGTGATGCAGGGAGCATCCGAGATTTCCAGGTGTTCCGTGGACTGTTTGCCTTGCTTCAAAATAGGTCGGCGTGCTGGGATCCTTTGTGTGTGTGTGTGTGTTTGTTTTGAGGCTACACCTTTTTCTGGATTAAAGAGTTAAGGAAAGCCAAACCGAGCTCCATGAGTTCGGGGATAAAATGACACGTGTCAATCTTTGCGACGGGACCCTTCGTTCCTGAGGCGATGGGCCTGTCCGAAGAGGCGCAGGGAACGAACGAGCAAATGTGTTGTTTGGGTTAAATATGACACCCTCACAAAATGGGGCCCGGGGGGCGGGCGGGGTCCTTTTGATTTCCCTTTGATGTGGGGGAGTGATTTGTGAAGCGCCCCCCAAACATTTGTTTTGCTGGGTTGGGGGAGACATAGGTAGAAGCTAAACAAATTGGGGGCCTGCTGTGTTTCAGGATTGCTTTGCACTCGTCCAGTACCATTTAGAGTTCTTGAAGTTGCTGTAGTATTGCTTTGTGCGGCCGAATGCTTTGGGCGTCAAACAACTGCTCTGTATTTCCTCCCGCTTTAGTTCAGGGTTGGGAATGGCTTCGGGGAAACTTTTCTGATCTGCACCCCCAGTTACAAATCGCCATCTGACATAAAACCAACCAAAAAAACGGTAGCCCTGTAAGGGGGTCTATTCGGGGGGAAGGCTAACCCTTTTTCAACCCTTCACAAGGTCTCGGGGGTGTATCCCGGGCCAAATCCTAGGCCTTGTCCACCCCCCCTTTAGCCCTCATTGCAGGTCCATGAACATATTTGGTACAAGCTCAAATGTACAGCAAAAACCAGGCCATGGCTCATATGTGGCATTGGGAACATAATTTTGGATGTAAATTGGTTGTAATTAAACAACAAATCGTGCTGCTGTTCTTTCGTTTTTTTGTATGACCTTTCCACTCGCGGTCAGGGGATTGTTCGCTTCTGACTTCAAAGGAATGCCAAAAAGTACATGCACAGCAAGTTCCGCTTTTGGCAAAGCCTGGCAGCCTTGCTGGCGCCATGGAGAACAGAACAACCCCACGGGTTGTCAGAATCAAACCCGAAAACAATGGCATGGACGTTCACACAAGGATCGAGTGGACATATCAAACAACCACATTCATAATATCCAATTGTCCCTTCCAGCGTCACTTAGTCCCCTGGCAAGAAATAAGGGTGGGTATTCATGTTCAACACGGTTTTACATTGGGTGCCGGTATTGATTTAATGCAGGGACCCACGTTTCAGCCTAACCCGTTTTTATACTTACTCAGCTCGAAGCTTGTAGCTGCCGACATGAAATGCAAGGGAGCCCAGTCTCAATTGTTTGGAGCACTCTGGACGACGCGACTGCGATCCCGATCTGCCCATGAAAGGTCGCGCATCTCCAGCTTCAAACGGCCATTTGTTGCATTGCCACAAAGTATCAGGCATAATGCAAACGTACTTCAATTCCTGACTCAAAGCCGCGACGCTTAAATCACAGAAGGCGCAAACGTGTCACGGACAGTGTCTCTGTCAATCATGTGGCCACTCAGGGGTCGTGTGTTTCGGGCAACCCAAGAATCGAATCGCTCAGGCGGTCAGAAGCCGGGAAAATCGGTTCACCGCAGGGGAGCAAAGCCTACCGAAGACCTGATGATGCCATGCTGAAGAGCAGCGTGGAAGGCCGGGCTTTTCTTTTCCTCAAAACCCGGCTGGGTCGTGAAGGTTAGTAAGCGAGAATCCCAACCATGAATTGGAGCCGCTTTTTACTTCTTTACATGATCGTTCTGGGTAGACTGTTTCAAAGCCAGGTTTTGATTGTGACTCCAATGGAATTAGGGTAGGAGGTGACCCCTGGAATTCCATTTGTGGTGTCATTTTCGCTTGAGCGGGGATGACTAGAAAAATGCCCTTTGGGTCCCCCGCCCCATCCCTTAGGGGGGGACCTTTCCTGGGTGCGCATTTTTCCGGGCGAATCATGACAAGCTCCGATCGGGGGTACATCAAGCTCACCCGATAGGTCCTTCACTGGTGGTTCTTTTGTACCCTCTTTCCAGTCACGGAGGCCGATTCAAGAGGACCGTCCTCCCAAAAGCCCTTCTGTCAGCTTGCATTGGACAATTTCTTGAGGCTACCCGTTTTGGGCTTGTCTTAGGAAGCCAAGCGGCCATCACAAGTCGACAGAAGTTCACCTCAGGTTCTATGACAATGATTGTGTACGACGCAAGGTTGGGGCGCTTTTGAACGAGCTTACCGATCAAGGGGTAAAACGAGCTCGCCAGTGACAAGGAGCGGGGTTCCCTTATTTCTTCCCTTATTTCCAACTTGAGAGATGTAGTGCAAGGGGCAGTTGGCAGACCATCTTGCTTATTCAATTATATTTTGTGCTGGGAACATGTAAATCTGTTTTGCGTTTGAATGGCCAGTTGGCCATGTTACAGTGTTACAATCACGGGTGAGTGGCCACACATTCTTGCTGCTCAATCATACTATATATAAGAGGGTAAGGGTCCATACCAATGCCCCCTGCAGCTTTCTAGAAGACCGGTTGGAAGTGCTCTGCGGATGCGACATGGCCCGTTCATCTTGTTGTGTGGTACTTGTATCGTACTTGGATATATAGCTTAATACTCTTCTGAGGCGGGTCCACTGCTGCATCCGCACTGTTGAGAGTTTGCTTGGTTATTAGCTTCTCCAAGGTTGACAGGACATTGGCGGGGGAGGGTCGGCATAACTTACTCGGTAACCAACAGAAATATGGGGATGTCTTTTACTTACTCTAGTTTACTTTTGGAAGCCCCAGCTCTTTAGATGTCTTTCAAGAGAAATCACACGAAACCGGGTTGTTCAGAACTCATTCTTCATCTTTATCCCACATGGCAGTTTATTTTTCTGTCTGTACTGGTTTGCTACCCTTACCCCTCCTCAAACATAAGATGTATGGGCGGGGCAGCTTTCCAAGTGGCGAGATGGTGATGGATTTTCTACGGGTTCCAGATTCGGAGCTATCCCGTTTTGAATCGCCCATTTCTTTTCTCTTGGGTGTATTTTCCACATCACCCCGAGAAAAAGTCCAGCACGTGGCACCCTTTACTTTTTCAAAGCTTTTGATTTCCCAAAGAGGATGTATCCCCCGTTCACCGCTTCGGGCTGGGAGAACCACCTTCGATTCGTTTGGGGAAAAGGCCAAATCAAGCCACAAGGGCTTGCGGCAGAATTCTGGGCTGTGTTTCGGGGTCACTTCGCCCCATTTTTCGCCGGCAGTCTTCGGCGAGCCGGGCTCCGCTGGGCAGATGCTGCCGGAGCCGCCAGTCCAGTCTCAGCGCCCATCACCCATTTGGGTGCGCCTTGTTTTTGGGGTAACCCCCCTATTTTTGGGTTTTGTGGATTTATTAAAGGAAACACATATTTTCTCAAAGTCCCCTGAAAAAACAGACACGCCCATTTAAGTGGTTGTTCAGGCCTGCATATGGCTTTACCATCTTAGAACCACTCAAATGTGCCGAACCATTCGGCGCCATGGACAACCTTTTACTTTGGGTTGGCAGGGATGGTCATGGGCCCTTAATTTAGACAATGATACCGGTTCCTTCCAGTATTAGAGGGGCGCATGACCATGACACGCGCAAGGATATTTGACCATTGCACAGGCGGGTGAGTATATTTTGCGCGGGTACCGTTCATTTCGGTTTGCTTAGACAGAAGCCAAAGGAAAACCACCATGTTTGGTGTCTCCCTATGTTTGGTCAGGCGCAGATGGGTAGCCGTGTGCCAAGCAGCCCATGTTTAATTTAACTGTCCGACAGGAAGCCAGAACAGGGCCATTCATGTTTGTCATTATGGTGTCACAGAAAAAGGCTGACAGACATGGCATGATCCACAGAAAGATGACAGAGTTCTAAAATGGCAAGCGATTGTTTGCTAGCAAAACGTGTAAGAAGTGACGTTGGATGGAATATCATTAAACGGTATCACAGAAAGGCTTGTGCTCACCCGTCGGGCAAGTATCCACAACACATGCAAGGGGGTGTTTTCCCGGCAATTGAACGTGAACATCAAATAAACATGGAATCACAAACAAAACCACCCCCAATCCCGCCCCCCCACCCCCCCCACCCCCCGGCACGCGTTTGAGGGTACCCTTTTTCATGGCTCGGGAAGCTTGGACCATCGAGAGGCAAGCTCGATGCCTGGCAGAGCTGCAGGGTTTTACTGCTTTGACGCCAGTGCCTGAGCGGATCGGTCTGAAGTATTTGCAGCCATGGACGAATCTCTTGCTGGTTTGACAGGCCGGGAAATGCCAAATTCGGAGAGCCCGTGGGGTCTTACCCAACAGTTACACGTTCCCTGTTACAAAGCAAAGATAGATGAAGAATTCTGTTTGTGGAGATTGAGGATGAATCAACCCCAAGGGGTGAAGCCACTTTAAAGAGATCCGTATACGCTTTCAGGGGAGGTGCAGACATGTGCCATGGTCAAAAGACCCATGAACCCCGTATTTTTAAATATGGTCTGAGGATTTATATCCACCCATTGAGGGCATTCCTCATGAACATCCGAGTCTGTTTGTAAAATGGATCCCGTGGTTCAACGGGGACTAATGGAGCCATGTCTATGGCCCAAGAAAAGTCTGGGATCCTTTTTGACATGGGTCCGTCTTTTTGTTCAGGGTACCCGTTTTGTTTGGTGTTCAAAGGGAAACCAAAGGGAACACAGAAGCCCATTTTGCAGGGTCTCCTACAAGAGACGCACCCACCAGATTTGACACTAGGCTGGATTTGGGAAAAGGAAACCAGCCATGGGGAACGACGATTCTATTTTAACAACCTAAATGCTCAGAATAAAGCCATGACTTTATTTTACCAGCCCCAAAGTGCTCATAATCTCTGCCATTTGGGAACATCTGGATTTTGATGGGTAAGGGATTGTCAAGCACACTGGGGGTCTTTTGAGGGTACACACAGCCTGATTTTGGGCCTGTAGTGGTTAGGTTGCGGTGACGTTGGTGTGTTGTTTTTTTGTTTGACTTTATCAGGCCACTGGTGAACAGCTTGCTGACCATGGAGCCGGAGGAGCCCGAATCATCTTGCCAAGAACTTTGGAGGTGGTCCCCATTGGCTGTGTGCGCATGTGTGTGTGTGAGTGAGTGAGTGAGTGAGTGAGTGTGTGTGTGTGTGTGCGTGCGTGCGTGTGTGTGTGTGTGTGCTCTTTCTCTTTTTGAGGGGAGGGGGGGTTCTTTAAAAACAAATGCAATACGTCTTTTGTGTGTTCTGCTTTTTTTGGCATCCTCAACAAACACCCACAAAATGTTGGTCCCAAGAATAATTTCGAGAACCGCTCAATCAACATGTTCACTTGTGTGTGTGTGTGTGTGTGCGTGTGCGGGTTTGAAGGCACCCCGTTTCAAGTCTGTTGACAGCGAAACCAGGTGGAGTACCGAAGACGCTTTGGGAATCTCAATCCCTATTCGTGTGTGTGTGTGTGTGTGTGTGTTTGTGTTCGAATATAGAGGACAACTGAATGACAGACACATTGTTATTAGACACATTAGTATTTTATGACTTGATGTGGTTTTACATTTGTAGCAACCCCCTTTTCCAATTATTTGGTCCCCATTGCATGGGGTGGTTTTTTGGAAGACGATCTTCCACCCGACGTGGTTTCCATGATAGTGGACCAGAGGGTGCAAACTACAAATCCTCGCCGTCCTCGGTTTGTTTGGTTTGGTTCTGAGCTTCTTTTCTTTTGTTCATGTCAAGTGGGGAAACTTCTTTGTTTAAGTTGCGTTGTTTCTTCGGTTCTGTTTATTTTCAGCTGGGGTCCGGGTAGCTACAAATAGCACAGTTTGTCAAGACAGACAACGGAGGGTCGTTAAATATGTCCTGCGGGACAGAGGAATGTTCAAGCACACAAGAGACATGCCCCCCCAGAAGGAGCCTCATTATCAAGAGTGGCAGCAGCGGTTTTGCGCACTTGATTGGTTCGGTTGCGCGCACAATCACTGCTTGCAAAATAGGTGCATGCTCAGCCCAAATCGCAGGGCGAATAATCATGGATCAATGGCCCTTAATTGTTCTGCGACGTCTCTGTAGCAATCTGGGTAGCAGATGCAGATGTGCCACAAGACATGTCATTTGTCCAAATCGGCCCATCTTCGCCTCTAGGATATTGAATCAGTCATTGGTTGAATCTTCGGCATTGCGCGCAAGAAGGAGCTTGTGTACGCTATGGTGTTTGCACGAAATGACGTATGGTGGGGGTACGGGTCTTCCCTCAGCTTGCATGTTGCTACGCATATGGGGCCTCGCAACCTTATCCATGAACAACCTCTCCCTCCTTCCCAGGGCCTGGCCGGCCTCATGTCCTCACGATCCCGCACACTTGCGGGCCAGTGAAAGATGGCGGGATTCGCTTGATGTGGGGAAGTAAAAGGGATTGCAAAACAACATGAGGGAGTTGTGCCATACACGTTTGGTCGACCTGTAGTAATTCCCCCCACATTTGATTGGCTGCCGATGTTGTTGGAGTGCAGTACTCCGCCAAAGTGATCCGGATCCCCTCTGTATAGAATGGGGCACCTCCAATTTATGCGTGATTTTTTCCCCGGCATCAGCATTGACAAAATCCTCGATGTACTTAAAGAAGAACGCGCTATGTTCGTTTTTTGCCATGGCGTTTTGGATCAGTTTCCAAGGCACAACCTGAGGAACTATATACCTGTCTGACTCTAAAAAGCCAAGTCCAACACGTCTTTTCCTATGGTTGGCTTTTCAATTGGAAAACCTTGACCCCATGGTTGGGTCACCTCCCCCAATTTAGGGCCACCTCCGACGTATTGTTCGACCCAACGCCGCCACGAAAGCTCACGACTCGCCAGGGCCGCGCCACCGCGGCGGACCTGGCGCTGGCGGCGGAGAACCTGCCCAAAGGAGCGGGGGCTTTTGGCTGGGTCCATGGTGGGTCTGGTTTGAAGCAGATGTGTCATGGGTAACAGGGCCGAGTCCTTTACGTGGGGGTTGCCAGGGAAGGTCATCTTGGTAGTACGGATATTCTTAGCCACTACAATGTTGTCATGGACTCCTAAGGGCAACACGCCTAGCCACGAGTTTCAAGCAACCCCGGATCTGGAGTCCCTCAGAATCTGGTGGATATGTGTTTCACAAAAAGTCACCGGACAAACAAGTTTGCATTAGTGTTGGAGGGCAGGTCATGCCAAGCACTGCCCAAACAAATGCTGCTGCATGTTTGCGGTCTTTGGCAAGGGAAGAATTTGCGTTGTCCAGGGGGTTCATGGAACCTACCATCCTACAACCATGTGTCAACTAGGGTCTGAGTTGGAAAAAGACGCCGCAGGCAACAGGAAACTGTCCAAGGTCATGTGCTTTTCCCCTTCTTACTTCAGGAGACACCCTGATGGATTGTAGGGTGCTGTTGACGTGTCCTTTTGACATCCCGCAGGAACGCCTACGGCACCTCCGCTGTCGCCTTTTGGATGCAACATATGTTGGTCAGATCGGGACCAGCCGTCCCTGTCAAAGGGGAGGTCGTGGTCATTTTAGCTACCCCACTGCGAGACTATGAGTGTTGCTCAAATAGTGGTCCCCGAAACATTTGCATCCCTTTTAGTTGTCCTTTAACTACCAACCAAAAGGGTCTACCAGTTTCAAAACTCTCATATATGGGTGTGAATCCTAATTGGTGATCGTTTAGGTGCGGATTCATGTCCCCAACCTTCCTCATTGAAATTCAGAGCCAGATATGGCCCAAAAATGTACAGGTCATTTTGGCAATATGCTTGTCCCAAAGCTGCCAAAACAATCACCGGCGGATGAGTACTTGACAGTTGATCTGAAGGGCCGCTGTTGTGTCACTTTTGGTTACGCATAGCACATGATGTCTGGTTGCTCACGGAATGTGACACGGGCACTAGGCGAAACCATTGGAATCCCCTCCAATATCATCCATTTTGTTTGTTTCTTATGGTTGACTAAATATGAAACAGAATCTGAGATCATTTTTTGGGCTGTGGACCCGTGGGCTTGGCGCCCAGGCGTTTTGAGTTGGCTTTGCCTTTCAGGAAAAGACAAGCGCAAAGGGGGCAATCCGGGACCGCTTAGCCTTTTGCGCTGTCAATCAGCTCACCTTTTGCTTCCGAGGCCTTTGCCCCAGCTCCCGCGGGGTGCCCAGCTCGGGTGCTAGGGTCATAACTTGGTGTCCGCAAAATTGAATATGCAACTCCAAAAAAGGTGCCTCAAAGCCTTTGAGACATTCGTTGTTTGCAAAGCAGAAACTGAACTTGTTGCACAGGTGTCCTTTTTTGTTCAGTTTGTTTGAGAAACTAAGGGCCCTGGTAGACCTAGAAACATTTGTCAGGGCCATCTTTTTCCCAAAAGGACGCCAATGCCCACAACGAGTTTCCTCCGTAGCGGTGGTTGGGGTTCCATGTTGGGGATATAGCTTTTCGCTTGGTTCGTGGCTTCAAAGATCACCTGCGCCAAGTCAAAGTGAGTGTTCTTTTGCTGAAGTGATGTAGGGGAAAATGCAAGGACAAGAGGCAAACCAGCTCGGTGGCTGCCCCTTTTGCGACCTTTAACATGTTGGCCGTTTCACAAATGCCGGTTCCCCTGCTCGTCCGCAAAACGTGTATTTTGTGTGGCAGGAGCTTGACACCGACCCAATTCACCTGGTTATCAAGAGCGCAGTTGCACTTGAGCCCCACCTGGTAATGGCCCACAACCCAATGTTAATGCTACGCTTTTCGAGGGAGATTGAGCTGCTAGAATCGCTAAAATGCCGGGTGTGGGGGGAGGACATAGCTGGGTGGGACATTCTGAGCCCGCGTCAAGCACCGTTCAGTTTCAGTTGCCTACAGGGCTTCGCTGTACGTAATGCCAACCATACTCAACAAACCAGTGGACAATTATTTGATGAATTTGAGGGTGTCATGACTCCCTTACTTGTTATATTTTGCGCCACTGTATATTATCCATTTGCTAAACGTCACCACTTGAGGGCCAAGCCGAAGTTAGTTTTACTCTATTGTGAAAGCACAGGGAATTCCGCTGATCTGAAGTCACTCAGTTGAGTACCGTCTGCTAAATCAATCTGAAGTGAGCATCGACAACATGTGGCACCCTCCACTTTTTCAGAGAAATGGATGAATTATCCCTTTGACCTTACCCTCCATACGACGGGGGTACACAACCATATCAACTGCTTGGTGGTTGGCTGCGATTCACAACAACGGGGTGGGGGGTGGGAATCAATTGACTCGCTGGCCCGCAGGGACTGAGACATGGAGTGACCCCTATGCTCGACTGCTATTGGGTTGGATCTTTTAACTTTAACTTTGTGGTTGAAACAATGGTGTTTTCCACTAAACCCCCAAAAAGTGATCCACTTTTTGCAGGGGGGGTCCTTTCAGCAACCAAGCATAAAGGTGTTTTTTTTGTGGCTCCTCGAAGGGACTCAACGGTTCATTGCCAAACCCGGTCTCGTGGGCATTCCCTTCGAATCACCCTTCCGGGGATTGGAGTCCGGGAGGCCTTGTCGGGACCTCGAGGCGTTGAATTTGGTGGCATCACTGGGGGTCAACACGAGGTCACCATGGATGTATGTCCTTCACCTGGGGATCCAATTCTTATTTTGGGTTTTGGGGTAAATGTGGCAGATATTTGGAGGTGGGTCAGGCTTGGACATTTCGCTCAGGTGCCCTGTGTCAGGGTTCGGAAGATAATTCATAAATGGAGAGTTTTGGGCGACGACTTTCCTTTTGGGGAAGCCAAACGTCCAATTCCATGGAATTGGAAAGAGGGTATGGATTCCAGAGGCTCGTTTCCCTGCTCACGTGCGAGCCAGGGTTGACGAAAGCGATTCCGGGGCTAAAATCAGGATTTTTTTTAACAGACGCCCATCTTGTTTTGTCTGGTAAAACAGCGGTACTCTTACTGTTGGACGAATCAAACATCGGGGACATGTGACGCCAATCCGAGCACCTTTCGGGTTGTTTTTCACTGCCGAGGACCGATCAAGAGGATTCGCAGGCCGGATTGTTGTGTGAGTATGTATGCGAAAAGTCTTCGCATAAGATACCACCTGGAGCGTCCTTCGTTACTCGAAAGTTTCTGCCCTGAGCCCAAACGTTCTGCAAAACCAGGGCTCGTCGTAAAAGTACCCTCCGGCGCTATTTCCCTTAGCCCGGGTTGGGCAGTTCTTCCTAAGGGGGTGGTAACCCAACTAATCAGGGCTCGTCAAAGGTACGGTGTGGCCGGTTGCGACTCATCTTTCCAATTTGACCCAAATAAATATTTTCTTCTTTGTTTTTTTTTTGGGGGGGGGGGCGGGCAATGTTCAGGTTGATCATGTAAACACAAATTCTAACCAAAGGCCAAAGGGTAGTGAACTCTTTTTCCGAGCCCATTTTCAAGTGCCTGTGAATACTAAAAGTGCTCCAACCAGGGTTGCAATGTTTGGGTTTCTCTCCTGGGAATAGATGAGCCAACCCTGGAAGTCCTTTCGTGGGTAACTTTGGCGGCACACCGAAGCAGCGCGCAGTCGGTGCAGTGGCTGGCCCAGACCTGAGTCGAGAAGCGAAGCCAGTGCTGAAAGGGTCTAAAGAATTTGTCTTGTGTTGTTTCGCTCAGTTGTCCAAAGCGAGGTCCTATCCTTCTGCCAAGTGAGTTGGATAATTCCCCTTTTGGGGTGGGTTTGAGGGGACGCCAAGAGGAAAGCCACCATTTGTTGGGTCCAGCTATCTATGCCCAAATTGAATGGGCTGTGGGATACTTTCGGCAAAATTAAGACATGATCCTACATTGTAAGGGGATTCTCTTCCTCCCAGGAATTTCCTCTTTAAGGGAACCCCTGTCAGGTGCCATGTTAGTTGGGTAACGAGTGTGCCAGGATGTTCCAGCTGTCTGCCAGTGGAGCCCGAACATGTCTGGAGAATGGATGTGCCATAGATATGGGCCCCTTCTTTTTAAACCCTTTGCGCAAGATGGAACCCTTGCAAGTCTTTCAAGCTTATTTGGGTGCGTCTTTACTTTAGGGACCCCCCAGAAAAAAATGTGGAACCAAAGCAAGTACACTAAAGAAAAGACAGACCCATGTACTTCTTGGGTCGGTAAAGCGGCGTTTCATGGCGTTTCTTTTCGGCAAACAAAATGCAGCCGTAGGCTTCTCGTTGCCATGTCCTGCCACGGAAAACACGAGCTTGCCAAAAAAGGGGTTCCTCGCTTGGGGCTGGACCGCTTTTGTTCGGTTTTGGACTGGCAAACCTGCATGGCTGTCTTTGATTTTGTTTCAGGGTACCAAGGGCTTTTTCTTCCGGACCTTCAGCGGTGAGCCCTGTTGAACTTTCAGGGCCCACCCCCAAACAAAAAATCGGATCAAAGGGCATCACAAAGGCCGCATTGGCCTTCAGCTGTTTTGGGCGGTTGGTTTAACCCAAGTAACCACTGGAACCACTGGAACCACTGGAACCACTGGAACCGCCCAAGAACCAGGCGTTTCCCTGCAACTGGACCCGACTCAGTCGAGTCGAGGATGAGACCCATGGGAACATCTCGGAGGCGGAAGTCCTGGAGGAACCCGAGGCGGAGGTGGACCGCTCACTGACTCGAGTTGGGTCCAAAAGCTTAGGCCTTTTGTGGGGTCCTTTGGGCAACACCAAGTACCAACACCAGATTTTGTTTTTCCTTCCGCGGCCACTGGTTGTCTCAGAACTGGCTGGGTTTTTGGTTGAACTGATCGCAATTGAGCAGGAATCGGTTGTCTGTTTTGCCACGCCACAACCATTGAGTCACTTTTGGAGCTTGGACCAGTTTAGGCGCAAACAACAAGTTTGAAAGCTTCTTTTGGCCCACTCGGGCATTGAGGACCTCGCCAACTGCCACAGGATATCCTTTAAAAGGAGTGGATCCGGGTCGCTTTTCTAGGTGCGATCGGGATTTTGACCTCTAGATTTACCTGATGGTTTGCCTTTTTGCTATGGGGGGGAGAACAAGCAACTGATCCCATGGCGCCTGTAGACGGCCGTGAATGCCAGCAATACCAAGTTGATATGGACGCTTGTTTTGGATGTCTTTCGGAGCGTGCTCACCAATAATGGGGTTTAGTCGTGCTGAAACCCATTCCAGGTCCATTTGGTGACTCCTTATTTCCGGATTGAATCGCTGCAACCTTGGCTTCTTATCGGGAACCGGAGAATAGAACTTGGATGCCATAGGTCAGGTCTATACCCCATGTCTATTCCCTAGATCTGGGAGTTTCGTGTCCGTCCTTTTCCATTGATACGCACTGTTTGGCTTTTGGTGTTTGCATGCTGTAGATGCTTGACATTTGTCTACACGTGCAGTTTCACGTTTTTGCTGGTCTGGCAGCAACATTGTTGACATGTTGTGTTTTGCCTTGGCTTGCTAGTTTGGTGACTCCTTTCACCGACCATTCGAAGCACAGATGCAATGAGCTCTTTCTGAAGAGAAAGATGGCTCGCATCAGTGCCCCGTCATGCCGGATGACTTGTCAGTGTTTCCATGATACGGCATAGCCACTACAAGTTCCCGTTTTAGACCAAAGGAGTCTCGGCCAAAGCTTGCCGCCAAATGGCGGGAGGGGGGGAGTCTGCAGTTGTTGCTTGTATAGTTTTTGCTTGCATAGTTTGCAAGTCCATCCATCCATCCATCCATCCATCCATCCAACCAACCAACCAACCAACCAACCAACCAACCAACCAACCAACCAACCAACCAACCAACTAACCAGCCAACCACAAGTTGTAGTAAATTGGCAAAGTTTGGCTTGTTCTCTAGCTACACTATGTCCCAATATTTGGGGAACCAACCGTGCCCGAGCATAGGCCTGTCTTTGAGGTATGGTCGACTGCTTAATGTATACATCCACATTAGAACGCTTACAGAACCCAAAAAAGTGTCGCTTGTTCTAAACGTCTTGGCGCTTTAGGTTCCTTGTTAATCTGCCGAATGGGTTTAGTTGTCTTCATCCCTCTCTCCCTGGGTGCATGTTACATGTGTTTGAGAATATCCCTTACAGCGTTCAATCTCATTTTTTTGGAGGCCATCGATCGACTGGCAGGTCTATTCGAGTCATATCCTCATAGTTACCTGAGCTAAATGATGATGGCTTAAATGATGGACCTATCCAGGGTTCGATCCTTGTTGCTATGTTGTCCTCTTCCTGTTTCTTCCTGTTTGGCTAACAGGACTGCAAAAAAAAGACGGTGAAAAAGGGGAGCCCCACAATGGTGGTTTTCAACTTGATGCCCCTTTGAACGAACCTTTAAGCCAAAAGGCAAACACCCACATATTGTTGATGTCTTGACAGGAAAGGACCGAGCTTGAAGTGGCGTGCTCTTTCTGAGTTTTCAGTGAAGTAAACCGTTGTGTCCCTGGCAACCTGTTTTTCCCAGCCGAACGCTCTGGGGGCTTTGCGGTATCCGGAGTGGCCCAGAGAAGGGCCAGGGTTCCGTACTTTTGGGGCACATGTGCGTCTGTTTCGCGAATTAAACCAACACCCACTGGTGACAGCCACATCAGCTATGGGGTCCTAGCCGGTGGTTTTGAAGTCTTCAATAGCCTTAGAGGCTTACCTTTTGCCCCACGGATATGCAGGCTTCACGGCTGCTGCAGCGGAACGAGTCGGCCAAGACGGCCGGCACACTGCAAGGCGCACCCAGAAGCACCAAGCCAAGTTAGGTCGGTTAAAGTGACAAGCATGGGGCTTATAAAGCGGGAACTACCGTCAAATTTTGAGCACCCCCTTTTGTTTGCCACAGTGGTTCAGTGGATTCCCCAATCTTACTCCCTTTTTGTTTTGTGGGTTCACCGCAACACATCATCAACCCAAGAACAAGTTTTTCTTTTTTTGTTGTCAGGGTGTCTGGGCAAGAGCCCCGAGTTGTTCTGATAGTTTTGGCGGGCCAGGATCCCGGGTCGTCGGTCGGTCGGTTGGTTGGGGGGCGTTTTCTCGGTTTTTGCGGAATTTAGTGGTTTTTGCTTTCCACATCCTGAGCATCACCAGCAACCCTTAGCATCACTGGCGGGATAGTGTTTGCAAGGGTCATGACATGTTGTTCAGTGGCACTTTTTATCCCTCTTTGCTGGATGAGGTTCCCTGGGCCACCCCAGCCCACTAGCCCCAGCGGTAAACGCAGCATATACAGCGCACCCGTGTAGTGGCTATATAGTGGCTGTATATCCCATTTTTCACCACCGGCGGTTTGGGGGCAGTGAACCCCATGCTGCAACTTTTCGACCAAAACCCGGAAGCATTGAGAATTGTGCGTTTCTCGAAATTGGGGGCGGTACTGTTCCAAGATGTTTTTCCTTGTTTTCCGTGGTTTCCCTTTGAAACCATCCAACACAATTTGCGGGATGGGACTTTTCCAGATGGTTGGGTGTTTGTTTTTTTCCTTTGACACCATCCCAAAAAGGTTGGATTTTTCTGTGAGACAGCCCACTACCATCCGCCACCGTCCAGGCCCCGGGCTCCCGCACTGAAGGCAGGGGTCCGAAAACCTCAAAACCGCCAATGCGAATCGTTTTCCTCGTCAGCCCATGGACTCAAAAACGGTGGTTAAACTGCCTTAGGTAAACAATGGTGGTTGCATTCACCGGGCCCCGTGGGTTTTCATTGTTGGAGCCCAGTGCCGCAAAGCAGCAACTCTAGTGCAGCATGTGAGCTATTGGCAGCTGTATTGGCGGTTTGGAAAGAGGGATTGGATCCGAATGCCTGGAAGTCAGCAGGGAAATGGAGCCCCAATTGATGATGCCCCATCCATTTCCCAAGACATTGCCTTAAATGTGTGCTATTAACGGGCATCAACCGCCTTTTTTCAAAATGTCGACCTTGGGAAACTGGGCTCTTTGTTGAGCGGCGTTTTTTGGCCGCAAGCAGATTTAGTGCGGGAGAAAAGCATCAATATTGAAACGCGCTACACGCGCGGAAGGTTTGCGGAAGCTTTGCGGCGGATATGATATTAGATATTTGGCTGTGGCTCAATTAACCGGTACCAAAATGGAGCTCAGGAAAGTGGAAACATGGACCAAAACCTGCGTAACCCCACCTGTTTAATTTTGCGCCACACCCATTTCAGGGCGTGCATGGAAAAGCACGGAGAAACGATTACAGTAGAAGAAACGCAACGCTTACTCGAAGAGCAGTTGCCAACAGCAAGCCAAGAAGACCAAAATTGCCGGCGTATTTCGCGGAAGATTTGCGGAAGCTTCGCGGAAGCTCCACGGAAGGGTGGCCCTGTGTTTGCAGGCAAAGTGGCCACGTAGCATGTGTAGCCCAATGGAGCCCAAGCCTACACAGGCTGCGGCGAAACACTACCTTACTTAACATGACTTTCCTTTCTGCGCCAATACTCGCGGGAGCAAATCTTGTAAACCATGCGACGCGGAAGATGTGCGGAAGCAAATGCTGAAGCACATGTGCCGCGGAAGTTCGCGGAAGGGACCTCTTGGCCCGCGGCAAGGATGCGGAAGGGCCCGCGGAAGCTTGAAAATATGTCCAAGCAAGTTTGTAGGGAATGAAAAGCAACGCTCTGTTGAGTTCATGTTTGAAGGTTCACTGGATGCCCCAGGGGGTTGTATGTTAAGGCCTCCTGAATTACCTGAAGCCGTCAAGGGTGGCCACAACATACAGACAGCGCCGCGTTGTCCTCAAAACGTGGGTTCAAACATCACGTAGTGTTTTCGGCCAATCCATGTGAGTTGTGTGCAAACAACTCACTTGCCAGGGTGAGGTTAACAGGTTGGATTATGATGTTGACCCCGAATTAGCCAATGCAGAGGATATAGGGAGGGTGGTATTTTTCCGACAAAGTAAGGATTTCTGTTTAGATGTGTGGAAAATCAATGCAGAAACGCTCCAAAGAGGGAGTCCCTGTTGCCAGGATGCGAGTGCTTCCCTACAAGATGGCTGAATATCGGAGGGTTCACATCGCGATAAATTCAATTGTAAAACACCCTCCAAGAAAAGGTAAACATTTGTTGGTGGCTTAGGGAAAGCCAAAGGAAAGCCACCCATTTTTGTCCCATGAGTTTGGGGTACCCATTTGACCCTTGCGGCCTTTCTTTTCCGCCCAAGCTGCACGGAGCCGAAGCCTCGACCCCTGCTTGCTGCTGTCCCCTAGGGACGGTTTGACCGGAATTTCCTGGAGCCCACAAGTAAAATGCCACTTTTCCGGGGGGCAAATCCGGTGCCCCCTGTACCTTGGAGGTCCGTTTCCCTTGCTCCCCTGTTTTTGTTTTGTTTTGAAATGTGTCGATTGTTTGAGTGGTCAACTTCTGCCTTGCTCAGGCGCATGTTTGGGCTAGCAGTTTCACTCATTGACAGTCCCAACGTGCTCTTCCAGCAATGTGATGCTGCGAGACGCAAGACAGAAGCCGAAGGCCTGCAGCACGCAGCGCGCGCTGTTTCCTCAAAGGCTGTGTCCACGGCCCGCGCAATGCTGCGGTGGAAAAAGCCAAAGCGTGAGGGGAAGGCCAACCGGAAGCTTACAAATTGGGGACTTGGATGGCTTTGGGGAAGCGAAGCGGGAATTCTTGGCATGGAGCTTTCCTGAAAAACACGAGGTTCAGAGCTCTGAAGTGGGATGTGTCCTGAAAGCTGGCCCCCAAGCCACGGATTTTAGCAGGGAGCCACCTCAAAAGTGATTGGTAGACATGAGTCCCCACCTAAAGGATGTCCACCAAGGCATCCCCCCGTTACCATCCATACCAATTCAATCGTGGGACATCCATTGTTTGTTAACTTTTGCCTGACATCTTTGATTGGTTCCCACAATGTCACCAGGCGCTTGATAGTGTGTGTTTGTGCGTTTACATTCTACAGGGACAGTCGCTCCAAAACACTAAAGCATGCACCATGGGTGCCAATAAATTGGAATGCATGACTGCCACACAAGGGCACATATTTGCGGCACTTGGATTTGGTATGTGAGGATTCAATAGTCATACCCTTAGAGGCCGCCGTATTGCACCCCTGTGCATTTGCGCCAAAGAAAGCCACCCATGTTTTGCCCTGCAATACTAACTCCTGGCATTTGCTCCCATGTTCGGCGGGTATTCGACCTTAGACACTACAGGAATTTCTACCGGAAACGCCAAAGACCCACACCAAATCAAGTTGATTTCCTGTATCTGCTGGCTTCTTGGAGACCTGGGTGCACCTCGATCTGAGCCACAATCAAAACCCGGGTAGATGAAGGTTAGTAAGGGACAATCCCAACCATAAAATAGTTGCGGCCGCCTTCTTAATTCCTTACATGGTTCTGGGTAGACCATTTTAGTACCGGGTTTTGATTGTGACTCACCTCTTCCTTCGAGTTGCCGATGTCCGATTTCCGATTACCACTTTCCGCCGGCCATTGGTTCAGAGAGCGGCGGTTCGGGTCGTGCCCTGCTGAGGCAGCTTTGGCACGAGGGGGGTTCTCAAAAGTGACTACTTCGCCACTTGAAAGGGGCTTCTTTTATGACAGAAAATAGCAGCCTGAAGCCAGTTGTTCGCCAGTGAAGCAACCTATTCACGCGTGTCGTTTTGCGGCTGTCTCAAGTCACACGCCCCTTTGGGGTGGCTTATTTTGGGGGAGCGGGGGCTAGTAAAGTGACATCCTGGACAATAGTTGGGTTTGAGGGGAAATCAGCCTTTATAGGTAACGCAAAACCATGAACATGTGTTCTTATCGCTTTTTCCTTTGTGGTACATTGGCCCTCTCCCAAAAGCGGGTCCGACTCAGGGACGATGGGGGCTGATGACCTGGACGCAGAGACCCTCAAGAGGCTAAAGCGAGAGGCCGGGACCCGCGAAAAAAACATTGTCGCGTGTCATGTTTGGCGCAGACAACGGTTGGAGGTGCCGGGTTTCGGTATGACTTCACTTGGTCTCAAAGTACCCGGACGGCCCGAGCCTATTGCTGTTGTGCTCTTATAAATATTGCTTTGTTCATGAGACCATAGAAGAGGGAACGACGGCCTTGGCAAGGCCATATTTGGTCCATACTACCAGGAGGACCCCCTTGGTCCTTGGTTTCATATTTGTTGCGTCGACCGAAACTGAGTGCCACATAGCCCATTGCGTTTACTTTGTCCAAAGGGAAACGGCAGCGGGATGAGTTGTTCAATTCGTCCAAGGCAAACCAGAGGGAAGCCATGTTTTTTTTTGGGGGGGGAGTCTGTGTTTAGTTGGAGAACCCGTTTCCCTCTTGGATGGTAACATCACAAGTTGGTTGCCATGTTACTCACTTCCCCAGTTTACAGACGTGAACCTTTCCGAGAAGATCATCCCCTTTGCGGTAGAAAGTCCGGACTTTTTCTGACCCATCCACTGAGGAAGTGTGATCAATTGCCATTTGGCCGGGCGATGTTCAAAGGGCACGTGTAAGGAATGACTCCGCAAGAGATTGCTCCAGACATTGGGTGCTTCCGATCAAATCGATGTTGCACGCTCAGATTTTCATTTTGGTGAAAAGTACCGTTTGCCCACATGAAGGGCAAACCACCCCAAGCAAAACCAGCTGCCCGCAACAATCGAAACCTGGCTTTTGGGAGGGCCAAACGAAAGAACTCAACGGAAACCGGGTTTAGAAAGACAGGTTGCCTTTGTCCAGTTGCTCTTAAAGGGACTCTTGGAGGGTTTTGGGAATGCGACAGGGCTCCGAATTGGCTTAAACCCAAGAAACACACCATTTTGCACAAAGCCCCTGAAAGGATTCGGTTTGGCCAAGTCAAAAACCACCACAGGAACCTCCTTTTGGGGGGGACATCATGTTCGGGTTCCTGCTGCTAACTTGCAAGGGGTCTTTGTTGATTCAATCGCAGAATCCAAAAGGGGCGGGTCAAAAAGGCGATCTCATTTGTTCGGATGTATCAAGGGGGCAGTCGATGGATCATGGGAAGCCGGGAATCAGCTTCGAGGCCGCGATCCGCTCCAAAGAGCAAGACTTCGAGCGCAGAAAGAAGGCGAGGGCGTTTGGAGGGTTTCCAGCGGCCTCTCACCCCGCATCCTCTGACTTGTTTTCTTTGAGCCTGGATCTTCAAGATAGGGACCCCAAGAAATGGTTGGCTTCCTTCTGGTTTCCCCTTAAAACGACAGAAAAGGGTACCCTCAAGACAAGGCACCTCGGGCTGGGTTTTGAGGAAGGATCGCCAGAATATGAGCCTTGTTCAGAAAGGGGCTCCTTTTCATTCCCTTTCGTGACTTCCTGCAAAGGAGAAAGCAAAGGGAATCACAGTCCGAAAGCAGGACGCTTTCATTTGAGCAGCGCACGAAACCCGTGCTGGCTACTTTTGAAGGTGGTTCTAGGGGTAATAGTAAGGCCTATTAAGAGCATCATGTCATGACCATCTCAGTAGGCAGTGTGCGTGGGGCGCTGCTCATTCGGAACAACCCTGACATGCGAGGCAGATGCGACTGGATTTGCTGCGTCAGTCGATCCGATATCGGTTCGCGTCAAAATGGGGACTCCCTCAAATGGGTGGTTTCCCGTTGGTTTCCCTTTCAACCAACCCCACAAAGGGCACCCTGAAAAAGACACCCTTGGTGTCTTTATCCAGAGAGAACAACATGTTCATGTGTGCCATGTCAAATCAATGGACCTCTTGGCTCGGCAAGCATCATGGGGTTGAATACTGTGTTGCTTGCATGGCGGTGACTGAGTGTTTAAAAGAGATAGACCCTGCTAAATGGGAGGTGTCTGGTTGTTCGCGGTGTTCAATCCAAACCCGAAAGAGTCCAACTGTGTTTGTTTGCAGGGTGCAAGGGTATGCCTCAAGGTGCAAGAGGACTTCTTGGATGCTGTCCAAAGGGCTGTCTAATGTCAAACCCAAAAAAGCACCATCCTCAGGTGCTCCATTTTAGAAAATGCTTACCATCCCGTGTCCCATCTTGTTCAGCTCGCCTTAGCCAAGGCAGAAGAGAGGAAGAAGCGCGAGCAGCTTCAGGTCGCCTGGAAGCATTGACTCAGCCATCCTTTCCGCCTGCCATTGTCAACCGCCACTCCCCCTCTCCCCAATGGAGCCGTTTTTGGTGGCACAGTCCAACTCATACAAATATGGGATACCGCAATTGTAAACCCCCGTCTCTCATTTCAATTGGAGGGTTGTCCCATTTTACGGTGGTTCTAGATCAGACTTGCGGGAGTTGCATCCGGCTACTCACCTGCCAGAGTCTACTTAATCCAGAGTCAACTTGCTATCGGTTGGGCCACCCCCGCCCCCAAAAAAAGCAATAGAGAAGCCAGAGCAAAGCCATAGGGAAGGTCCTCAAGATGGACGGTGTTTGGGATGGCATTTAAACGTCCATTTTCTGAAAAGAATACAGTATGAGTGATTTTCCCTTTTTGGTTTTAAAGGGTTGTATCACACCTGGACATATTATGTCTTTTTCCAGGCGTCTTAAGCAAAACGGGAAGCAAAGGAAGCCAACCAGTCCAGAGGATTTTGAGTAATTCTCAGCCGAAGGAAAGGTGGTTAAGTTTTCTCAAAGCAAAGCCCAGGGTATGATTCGCGATGAGACTTGGGGACCCTGAATTTCCCAGATGCCGCCTGCCTTACGTTTGGAATTGTCGGCACCTCAGGACTGAGGATGGGAATAGAACGGAAACCAAAAGGAACCCAGTCATTTGGTCAATTTTAGGGGCCGCTCTTTGGCAAGCAACCCTCCATTTGGAGAGGTGTAGAGTTTGATGCACGGTGATGTTTACGTCAACAAAAAAAGAACACATGGTTGGAATCTAATTGCAGTTGACTTGGCAAAGACACTCACCGTCCATGTTGATCCCGGACAGCCGACATTCACGGCAGTGTGCCCCACAAACGTGATCCGGCCTATCGATCAACCAGGGATTCATTGAGGCTCCCTTGTAAGCGTTTGTTCGTTTACAGGTTGGAACATGTGGACATTGACTAACTCTATACTAGCAAGGTATGTGTGTCTTTTTTCATATGCGATGTTGAGACTTCACCTGGGCTTAAGCAGACGTCAGAAGAGATGCAAAGATGTGTTTATGGGGGATGCGTCAAAAATAGGGGGACCTAGCAATTGTGGTTGTCCTACTGGCTCTACACGGGGGGGGGGTCCTTAACACAAAGCAGCCCCAGGTTTCGACGGTTCGCCTCAATTCTCACTGAGGCCCTGCGGGAAGAGTGGCTTCCTCAGATGAGACATCATTTCCCGGTGACGAAGGCGGGCATGTCAAATGTGTTCAAAAGGCGACCCTCCTAGATATGTCGATGTTCCATGTTTTCCCTCTCAATCATCAAAAGGCTTCCTTTAAGACATACTGAATTGGTTTAAACCACAGGAGAACCGAAAGTAAGCCAGAATGACACCTTAGGGAGCTTCGAGCTTGAGACCAACCACCTTTGTTAGCCATGTTCCTCCCCTTCCCCAGTTGGGCTTTCAACTTTTGGTAAGGATCATTTTGGTTTGAGGGAAAGTCCGCCCAGGAAGTGTAGACCGAATCCATTCGGTTTATACGGGAAACCAAAGGAATTTGCTCAACCATAAGCTCAACATGTTTCAAGGCTTTGTCTGACCTTTGGGACATTTTGAACGACAAAACCCAAGTCCTGCGGGCTCATGGAATTGAGAGTAAAGCAGCTTTTCCCATGGGTCACTCAGGGAACCTGAACAACAGCTGGTTAAGTATAGGTGTGGCCTTAAAATGACAACCTCTCCATGAGAGGCAGAGTTCACTTTTGGGGGCTTAGACCAACCCAATAGTTGAGTTTAATCAAGGAGAACATATGAAGCATGGCGGATGGATGTTGTTTTGTTGCCACTTTTTGCCATACCAGGCATATCTTCTTGCGAGTGGGACGGTAGTCAGGACCCACTTTGGTGTTGGGAGGACTTCATGTCACACCCATTGACACGGGAAACCTGAACACTCAAACTGCCCCTGAGTGGAAATCACCCCATATATGTTTTGTCGCACTATCCCCATTTCAGATGGGTTTGAGGTTCCCACAATGGTCGACCAGCATTTGCTCATATGATAGCCCCCCTCAACTCACGCCTGTTGAAATTAGAAGGGTATGTGTCAAATGTGTTGGGGATCCCTAAAAGGAAGTGCAGCGTTCCTTGTGGTTTCCCTTTAACTCAAGGTGAACAGGGTACCTTACAAAACCGCCTGAGGTATGAGTCCAAGCAGCAGAAGCGAGAGCAAGAGAGGCGGCGGCCTGCGAGCCTTCGTGCGATGAAGCGTGTGTGGCAGGCATCAATCTGCCTGCAAGCAGGGGCGTACAAACATATTTTGTTTATTTCTATGAGCGACGGCCTTTGTTTAAGAAGAGTATACACAATGAGGGCCGGGCGGAAACATGTTTGGGATAACATGCTGAAGGAGCAAAACCCCCAAGACGTTGACGCATAGGTGGTTGAGATCACAAACACATGTGTTGGAAAACGAGGGCAACGAGTCCAAACTGGCAGGGTTGGAGATCAAGTGCGGGCACCGATCATTCCGGCGATGTGTAACGTGTTCTGGGGTTTTGGACCGAATGTGGTAAGGCAAGATTTGTTGGCACCTACAGGTGGCTGGAGTGCGCTGCACAGGCGAGTGAACGCTGACCAGTGGCTAAGGCATGTCGCACTGCACATCCGGAGTGTTTGATGAGATTGGCACTGTGTGCTCGTGCTCAGTCATGCTTGCGAAAGGAGAGATTTGGGGAGTTTTGGAAAATGAGAGCCAGCCGGCACAAGACAGCACTGTTTGACACCCCCCCCCACTGGCCAAATTTTGTGGGATCATGGTATTCCACTGAGATCAGTCCTCAAGCCCAGGGAACTTCAAGTCTCTGGTACGAAATGTGGGTGTGTCTTTTTCTGAGGGTACCTTAGTTGAAAGGGAAACCGAAGGAAGCCAGCCATGTTCTGGGTCCTGTTTTGAGACCCATGTGCGTGAGTTCAAGGAAGGTCTTTGGGATGGAAGGTCTTTGGGATGGAAGGCTAGGAATGACTGGTTCCTTTGGAGTGGCCGACCCTGTCGCAAGGGTCGGCACCCACAAAAGCCGCAGCTTCAACCATTCGACATACTGTAGACCGAACTGGGACCCACGGAACATGCACAAATCCACATGTAGATAACATTAATTACATTGGGGTTTGCCTGTTTTGTTTTTTTTGTTCCCTTTCTTTGTGGCTTTTGCCGGGAAACCAACGGGAAAAATTCGGATGTTGAAACCAAACACCCAAGAAGCATCCCCTCCAACAGCGGAACCTTGCCAGAACCCGTCCCCATAGCAGTCACTGTCGGGGAAAAGCGAAGAATCGGGTTCTTTGGCCCCTGAACGTGCCGCTATGCGGGCAGAGTTGCTCACGCTTGCGGTCGGATTAAGAGAGAGAGAGAGAGAGAGAGAGCGAGAGAGAGAGACAGCCAAAAGCTTTTGAGAATCTCCCTATTTCGACATATACCCATTCTGGCGACCAAATGGGCACTCAGAAGGGTCATTGGCAAGTTCACCCAGCATGCAGTTCATCTACATGAAATACATTCAACACCACGGAATATTTTCGAAGATGCCGCGAGGCTTTGTCGGCCCAGTTTTCCCGTGTCCGACTGGTCGCGCTGGATTCTGCAGGCTGGCCTTGCTGAAGAAGCAGACAGAGCTGAGGGCCAGAAAGAAGGACCCGGAGCAGCGCAATGCTTGGCTTGAGATAGCTACCAACGCAGAAGTTGAGGCCACGATGCCGTTTTGTTTCTTGCATTGTTTGCGTTGTATGCGTATGAATATCATTACCATATACATATATATATATAATATATATATATATATATGTGTACACGTTTTCTCATTTAATCTGGGACCCTGAATGCGAGCGGTTTCCATGAACTTTGTGGGGCAAGGTTAAACCTTGAACACTGAGGGTTGATGTTTGGACCGAAATAACCTTTGAAACACTTCAACGAAAACCAACCAACAGTCCAATCGTTTCGCTCAATCCAACGCGGGTCCCTGGTTGTGACAAATCTCCATTCCAATTGGCGTGTTCGGAATAAGGTGAGTTTGGGGTGGGCTTGTTGGGGGGTTAGGGTTGGTTTAGGGTGGGCTTAGGTTTGGTTTGGGATGGGTTTTAGAGCGCTTGCTTGCTTGCGTGTGTGCTTAGTTGCTCGCTACTCGCTTTCATGCGACAGGGAAAATCAAATCCAGCAGGACAGAATCCTTAAACCATGTAGCACCCGTACATTCATACCAAATGAAGTCATAGCTGTTTGAGGTGGTTCTAACTAGGGAACAGTCCTAAACTTCCCAAAGACTAATGCACCATATAAAAGGGAAGATTCCCTTGTATCACAGAAGTGGGGATAAACTCCTTGATCCCACAACCCTGCTTCAGATGATACAGAGAACCTAATCCCACCCTAAATTCACTCTTGAATGGTGGGACAAGGCCCCCACAGACGGCGGAAAACATCCCGAACAAACACAGAAGCAAAACAACACCTTAAAGTACCCCACAACCACACTCAAATTATTGCAAACGTTTCGCGTTGCCCGCCTCGGCCAGTACGCTTTTGAGTGGCTTAGAGGTACTGTGTTTTGGTTTGCCTTGAAATGTTGTGTTTGTTTGAGTGAGTCGGCGCCGAAATGCGTGAGCTGGTTCCCAAGATACGTGGTGGGTGCATACCTGGGCTCAGGCCACGCTCAGAATTGACAACTTGGGGGGATTTGAACGATTTCTGGGACCGGAAAAGTTCAGGGGGGTTTGGGGGGGACAAATTGTGAGGTAGGAGTTGGGGGTTCAACCCGCTCCTTTTGGGAAAGTTATGGGGACAGTTTCACGAGGTCTTGAAACTCCCAAATGTTAGATAGGGAGAAGCACTGAAAGGTTGCATACGCTCCTCCATCCGGCACCTTCTGGCCACAGGAGAGCTCATCCCGGCACAGGCCCTTACACGGTTCCAGATAGAGGGTATGGCTTTCGATCTGGCAGGCAGGAGAAGGAATTTACATCCAGCTTGGTTAAGCTTTGGAAGACTGAGTCCAAAGAAGTGGCTTCACAATTGGAAGGGTGCAGACGATTGTGGGCGTCCTCTCCAGGAAGAAAGGTGGGGCGCCTTCGCCGTCAAGAGCATGATTGAAGCCATGTCGGCTGATGATCTCCTGCAGGTCGCAGAGCAGGAATGGGGCACTTGCCAGGTGGAGACGGTGCTCGCAATTCTTGCTCTGCTTCGGGCATAAGCAGGCCGAAAATGATTTTGTTTGCTAGCAGCTTGTGGGAAAAGTTGAAACAGCTGGCATGTCCCGCAAAGGAAGGACGCGAAACATTGCTTTTCAGGGCTTGATGTTATCTTCGTCTGACGTCACTGAGAGGCTCGCGCAATACGGCGCGCTCAGAGGAGGCTGGGGCAAGCGGCGCTCGGAAGCGCGCGCGAGCCGCGACAGCGGCTCGCGCAAAACCCACCTGTTCAAAGGCCGACTGGACTTGCCGCGCCCTCCGTGCGAGGCAAAAATACATCAGCTAGCCAGCTCCTGGGACTTCGGGCTGGTTGACAGCAGCCGCTGAAGGGTCGGCGCTGCCACATGGTGGGCGACATTCAAGTCCTGTCGGCCGCTTGCCCTCGGCCTGCATTGCCGTGTCCAACAACTGGGTCTGACTGCTTCCCGGCCCTGGCCGAGACAAATGGCAGAGCAACACAACACCTACATGATGGCTGATCTGAGTTTGTCTATGTGGGGACCTCCAAAAAAGGGTGATGTACCTTGGTTTCCCTCACCAAACCCTACAAAGACACACCCCTCAATATGGGAGACAAACCCAGATGTGTCGCCTTGGGGGTGTTTTGTTGCCTTCCAGTGCGCATCTGTCAGAAAGCTTGCAAGCGCAGGAAGAGAACGCTCGCTTGAATACGCTCCGCGAGAAAAACATCGCAAGGCGACATGCGGCCAGGTGCTTAGGTCGTTCACGGTCAGCTTTTCCCGGTACCCAGTGCTGCATGAAACCTGTCCCTGTCTTGTCGGACCCATAAAACTGGGAGGTGTCCTCCAATTTGAGCCCATTAAAGACTATGTCGGCTGGAGAAGTTTCTATGTTGATCATTTCATTGCAGGCGTCCTCTTTCTCAATGGGCGCTTGGCCATACTAGAATAGTTGGGCATCCGCTGCCAGGGAACTTGACTTGTCGTTGTTTCGCTGCATTGGCCGCACCAAAACTGTCGCAAGTGTTCCTTCCTGGTTGTTTAGTGGAGGCCTATCAGCTTGTTTCGTAAGATTCCTAGAAATCATCCTGCCAAAAAGTCGGGCAATTGGGAGGCTGCAGCAAATAGACGCCTTCAATGGGAGCCTGTCAATTTAGGCATGTTGACTTCTGATCCGTCCGGGCCATATGACCCTCTTATTCCTCTTGCTGGACTTTACTTTTTGGGAAGACCGTTTAATTTTGATGACAAGCATGCAGTTTGGACGATTTTGCCCAACCAGTCAAATGAATCAGTTCCCAACTAAAAGGGTTACCTCTCCAGATTTGGAATCGAGGTTGACATGAGTGTGCCTGGGTTTCGTGGTACATCATGTCCTTGCACAGCTTTTGTTCAGCTGGTAGAACTTTTCAGAGATGACCAGATGAGAAGTAGATGGCATGTGGTGACTTTACACGACTCAGAGCAAACTGAGATTTATGTAAGGATACTGTAAGGATGTAAAATAGCTTAGAGCAGACACAATTCTCCAATCTACATGTCGCGCTTGCGACGAGATCGATCTTAGGCGTGGCGCAAGCGCGCGGACGCGGAGATCCAACACATCATTGAGGACCAGGCAGGAGCTTCAGCGAAAGGTGGCGCTATGGGGCGTGTGGGGCATCAGCCTACTTGATGGGTTCAAACACCTGAAGGTTCTTTACTGTTTTAGAAGTACAGTATCATGTGCAGATCGCTCGGGCATGATTGTTTTAATGCTCCCCGTTTTTTGTTTTTTTTTTGGTAAGGGAGTTTTTTCCTTCTTGCGGGATATGGTCATTTGGCAGGGACTTTGGGGGAGATATCAAAAAAGTCTCACACAAACCAGGAGATGTTCAAATGTTCCCGTGTCCTTTGCTTTCAAGAGATTCCTTTCAAACAGCCGTTGGTTTGGCACGTAGCCGCTTGTGGAACGAAGAACTCAAAACCGGATCGACCGACCGGGTATATGGTTGTCTCTGGTTTTGAAGCTACCCCTTTGTCTGGTCTGAAGGGAAGCCAAAAACGAAAACCACCCCCTAGAAAAACGGCAAATCCATACTTTTGTCTTTGCCAATACCAAGCTCCGATAATTACACCTGATGAAAGCCAAGGCTAGAACAGCGCTGTTTCTTTTCATGTTCTTAGGGACGGACCAGTTTTCTGAGGAGGGAACGCGTCGCCTGGCCCCCCTTGAGCCAGCGAGCGTGGAACCTGAGGGGCGCAAAGACCACCTTCAAACAGCTATCCTTTTTGACGACACGGTCCTGTGCCCCACTCCCGGCGCCTACAAGTTGCAGACGCGCTTTGTTCAAAGGCAATCCCTAGTTCTTCCGTATGTGAAAGGAGTTGGCCACCAAGTTTAGTGGCTTTTTCAATAAGCCTGTCGCTCCCCTTACCAAGGCCTTTGGAAGAAGAAGCCCGTGAAGGGGTCGGAGAAGACCAGATTGGGCCTTAAACCCATGGCTTTGGCGCACAAGTGCCCATTTTAGACTTTCCTTGAACAAATCGGTGCACCAATCCCAACCAACCGAACCCACTGACCTACCTGCCCACCTGCCTACTTTCCCAGCTCCGTTGTTCAAAGCCGACCTTTTGACCTTTTTTTTTTAGTCAAGGTTTCAAAAGGTTAACCTTTTGGTTCCGGGACCTTTGAGCAACTGAGTACCAACCAACCCAAAGCTTCGGGTTCTGCCAAAGGTCGCGGAGGAGGAGCGTCTCGAGGAGGCAAGAAGTAGCGAGTCGATCGCTCGACGTGTAAGACCAAAACCGGGTCCCAAAGGGCCGGTTTACTCGGTGGGTATGTCGTTCTAAAGGGACCTTCACAGTGGCTTTCCTTCTGGTGTCCCTTTAAAACCAACGAACAGGACGTACAAGTAATTCAATTAAGCCAGGTTGTAGAACCACCTGGGTGTGTCTCTTTGAGGGTACGCACTCGGGTGGATTCCTACACACTCAGGTGTTTGTGCCCAGTTTAATTAGATTGATTGGAGCTATAAGGCCTATTTTTGCCTCTTGCAACCATGTTAGAACCAAGAGTATTTAGTAATTCGAGCAACACCCGTGTTACCCCTTACTTCGGGATCCAAGTCTTCTTTCAGCTGCTCCCCTTAAGTCATTGCAAGGCTTCCTAAAGCCGTGGGCATCAGCGCAACGGCACAGGTTTGGAAGCTCAACCCCTTGATGGATGCCCTTACTCCCCTGAGCTCATTGACTTTGCACTTGATGGGCGACGACTTTAGTAAACAACAAGTTTGGACTTTGTTTGGTTAATACACTCAGGAACTGAGTTTAGCTCAAGTGACTAAGAAGTACTGACGTTTAAGTTCTCCCTTTGGTTGTAGTTCCATGTGATGGCAGACTTCACCCAGGGTTTCCGCTCAAAAAGTTCAACCCGTCGACAAAGGCGATCGAAGGCCCCACTTCTTGGGCTTGGGAGTTACGTAAAGAAGCATCCATGCGAACCCTTTTCTCGAGAAGTGCTCAAGCCTGGAGATTTTAGACGTACGTGCTACGTAAGGGGGGAGAACACCATGACCACGGCCTACATGAGGCAGGCGCGTGAGGTTGATGCAGTTTGGAGAAGACTTTTGTCCTTTGTAAAAAGGGAGGGGAGCCCCTTTCAGATCAACCAACAAAGAAGGGGGCCTTGTTCCAATGAGCACTGGGATTCTGAGTAAACCTCGCGTGGTTTGCCTGATTTGAGAATTTCTTCCGATGGCGTCAAAGTCTTGCGGACATCCGGAAGGTCTCCGAGGTGTCAGCTGACGTTGTGATGCATGGGACGCTTCTGCGTAAGATTTGGAGGCTGTGTTATAAACAGATAACAAGATCAAGGAAGGGACTCACGGAGAATGGGTAATAGAAGGAAAGGCGAGGGTACTATTCTTTCAAAGCCTGTCCTTTCTCCATTATATCTATCTCTGTTCTTTACTTCTACTCTTTTGAGATGTACTAATTCATATTTCATTAATAGATTCATAATTCTATTTTGATTGCTTACTTTTTTTGATCTCAACGAAGACTTCCCTTCTCAAACTCATTTCTCTGGACCTGGGCCTCCTTGCAAGATGCTGTGTGTAGAATCTCTGGGCTTGCAGGTTTCTCCTCTCCCGTTTGGAAGTGGTTTGTCAAGTGTTGTGTCGCAGTAGTCATATTCCTTCAGCCTTCCAAGATGCGAGCTTCTCAATCCCTTTGGCGCTCGTTTGCGGCTGCCGCCGCGACTGGTGTGCCCTCGAAATGGGGCGGGAACAAATATTTGAATGGTTGAGGCAAGCGAAGAGGACACTGGGTTGCTCTTGCTTGCAAATCTGTGCTTTTGAAAGCACAGCCAGGCGATAGCTGCTGCGCGTCAGCGAAAGTGCGGCGCCCAGCTTGTGTCTTTTCAGGGTGTATTCTACTTCCATCAACAGGAGTTTCGGGTGCAAATGGGTTACGACCTGGGTGACCAAGAAGGTGAGTCAGGAGTTGGTCAATGAACAGGCAACCAAAAGAATCGAGACCGAGAGACAAGCTACTCAACAAGAAAGCAGGGATGTAGCCAAACCCAGGGTGGACGCTGGAAACAATTCCGGGAGACGCGCGGGCCATGTAATCCTTGTGAGCCCGAGCTGGTGGACAGGTGCACGGCTTCAGTTCGCAATTCTCGGCTTTTCAGCCAGAATTTGGGAGGGACATGGGGGACTTGGCTTGCCGGTTCGATAGGCAGGGAATGAAAATTGTAATAACCCCTATAAACCATCCCTTGTGCTTTCCTTGAAGGGAATCCTAGGTTCATTGCCACTACCCGGCAGGTCATTCCCTACTGAGCACCAGCAAGTTACCCAGTTTTCCACCAGAAAACCTGGAGGCTCACGAATTGTGTTCATGTCCATTGGGGAAGCGTGTTTTCACCCCGTGTCGTTCACCCGTGTACGCAGGGCTACGCTTTGGGCCCCTCACCTCGTTGGTTGGCGTGTGTTTATCCTCTCACTCCCCATGAGGAAGTTGGAGGTTCGATAGGAACCTCAAGGACTCCAGTGAGGGGTCATGTCGCTGGGAGGACACCTTTTTCATCCATTTGCTTAAGAATATGTGTATTTTTTCCTGGTATGTCGTGGTTCTATCTGGGGCTTGAGAAAATGGCAGTCTAGTGTTGTTTGAGAACCATGTGTTTGTGTGTATGTGCGCGTACTTGACAATGATAATTGAGCACGACTGGAAAGTGGTCTTGCGATCGATCGTGTTGCCAATCAACTTGTTACAGCTGATCAACCTGTTTGAGGGATGCGACAAATTATGACCAAGGAAAAATATGGCTGGCATGAATGTCTGACACTATGGCTACACAAGAAGAATAAAACGGATAAGGGACAAGCAACAACCAGTACCCATCAACCTGCAAAACTGGAGATGGGACCTCTGAAAGTCGATCTGGAAACTTTGCCCGTTGCTTACGGGATAGCTGGCACTAAGTGTAGTCTGCTGTTGGCGACCCATTGGCACTGAAACCAGATCAGCATGAACCATCTGTAGAGGAAACTCGTTTTGGGATTTTGGGCTCTTCTGTTGGACCACAACTTGTTGAGACCCGTATGGAGAAGCTTAGGAAGGAGCGCGCGGAAGGTATCCGAGCTGAGGCCGCTGTGGGGGGAGTCGGAATCACCGGAAATGTGCCACGGGTAAAACTGACCCCCCATGGGGTATTTTAGGGTTGCGGGGTTATTGGGTTATGTGAGGGTGGTGGGGTTGTGGTCGGGGTGATTTTTTAGAGTTATGAACAATGTTGAGCTGCCATGGCGAAAAGACCCTTTCCATTGGGCATTGGTAGGCCCTTAGGCACGGTCATTCATCCATGGCCTGAAGGGTTGGTTGGGATGCTCCCTGGATTGGACCTAGGGCAAGGTCATGAACCCGTCAGTCGGAATTTCAGAGCCATACTGTAAGGGTTCCTGTTGAGAGCACCCCGATTATGGCCCTGTGGGCAATCCCTCATGACTGTATCAGATGACATGTGACAGTCGCAACAGAAGCGAGCTCACCTGCAGCGCACAAAGCGAGCGAAAGCCCATGATCAAGATCCTTCGCTAGGTAGATCCTTTTGTTCTACTGGGTGAAAATGGACTTTGACTCCGGAAGAGAAGTGCACGTTCTTTCTCGAGAGTGCCTCTGGGCTGATTTCAAGTGAACAGAGGAGTCACTGATTTTGCGGTGCCCCAGTTCAGAGACTTAAACCCGTTTGGCCACTGCTCGCTCGACCTTCGGATCGGCAGGTGGGAAACAAAATAGTGGCATTGGCATGGGTGCGCACTGCGGATCAGGTTTCCGTGCTGTCATTTCCAAAACCAAAGCACAAATGGGGTTTTAGTCTCATGTCCGGTTTTGCCGAAGGAACTTGTCCTTTATTGTCAATAAGTGGTAGACTCCACTTCACTTCCGGGTTTACCAAGAGAACTTCTAGTGATGTTGTGAATCCCATCGGAAACAGACTCAACCAGTTTCCACCCGCGAACACGGCTGATGGGCGTTGGGAAAGCGGTCGAGACCCATTCGCTTTCTTGGGTGCCAGGGACGTGTGTCCCCAGATTAACATGGCTTAGAAGATGCTCTCTTGGGGTCATGGGGCACAAAATCACAAAACAAGTCGACCAAGAGTCAGGAGGCACGTCAGCTCAGGAGGCTTGGGGGAAATCGCTTCTTGAAGTGAGGTGTTCAGGTTCGGATCGCTTCGCATCTTCTTGGCCAGAAAATGGACAAGCAGACGCGGCAAGAGGAGCTGGACATGGCCCGCGGGGACGCTCAAAGGGCCAGATTCGTGTAAATTGCGGAAGATTGGCAGATGGGAGTCGTCAAGATGGGAGGTTGGGTCCCTTCCGGTTGTCTTGAGGTTCAGCATCTGTTGGCTGGGAAACCACAAAGATATTTACCCTCTACACATTGCAGACTTATGTGCCCCAATGTGCAGGTAGGGTGGCACACACCTCATAGGGAATCTACTGTTGGAGGCATAGACATCTGCAGGGGCACGGCATTTCCCGTCATATATAAATCTCGGGATACTTAGAATGCCATCACCACCGTTCGAGGCTGAAAATGGTTAGTTCCCTTACAACCCCCTCACTCAGTCATTCAGCTAGGAATTACCTTATACACAGCCCATTTCATTGGCCACACTGGTATTATCCCCTTACCAAGTGAGAAGGTTAGTTGTGCTATGGCCAAAAATCCAAAGGAGTCCATGACACTCCATACCTTGAAAAAGGGTCTTCTGACCATGAGTACAGCTTATCTGGTGGTTGTCTGAAATTCCTTGTTCCGGGAATTCCATCTTCTATTTTCGCAAAACCTGTGGGGTCCATCGCGGAGCTTTCGCAGGGGGAACACTTCAGTCTAAATGGCTTTCCCGCCTTCATACCGGTGTGTCTTAATATAGGGGGACCCCGAAAATGGTTGGAGTCCTTTTGGTTTCCCTTCAAAGTCGGGCACCCAGAAAAAAGACACCCCCATCATATCCCAATACAGCTGCCTTCTCCGGCGAGGGTTTGGGTGCAAACCAATTGAGTCCAGGCCTGAAGCGTTGTGCAAGAAGCGGACCGGGGAATGCACAGCTTCCATTTGCTGAAATGGATGTGTTTGATTTTCCCCAGTGGGTTTTGAACGGAATCTATCACTACTGAACATATTTTTGTGCATTTCCAGTGGAGCTTAGGCAAATGGAAGGCAAGTTGGTGAAGAACGAAATTGCCGAGGGTTCAGCTGGTTTCTAGCAATGAAACAGCTTTGACGAGCCTAATGGTTGGTTTCTGTGCAACTTGGATGCGGACAGACGTGTGACGCGCCTGTGAAACGCTCTTCAAAGCAGTCATACATACGTTGAAGCTAGTTTCTGTGGCTTTATCAAGTTCCCAGGCGCGAGAGCAATGGAACAAAGCACTGCCTGCTGGATGTTTGGGTTGTCAGGGGCGACTTCATGCACTTCCATTGACAATTTCCAGGTAGGAGTCTTCCTGATTTCTTGCGATTCATGGCCTGGGTTTGTGCAAAGCAGCCCTCAAGGGGCCTGATTTCCAAACACGAGCTGAAGTACATGACTCTGTTCTCGGACAACTTGAATTGTCCGCTTGGTTTGGCATTGAGGATGTTGCGCGACACGGGAGCTGTCACTAGTATGTCATGTCCTCCAACACTAACTGCACCTTTGCAAGCGTTTTGTTCCAATTGGATAGGCCTCTACACCTAGCGTGCTGTCCTCCAACATGGATCCCGCAGAGAAATAGTCCCTTTTGGAGGAAAATGGTCCAAACCAGGACCCCTCAGCGAGGTTTCAGGGCAACGTGGTGACGTTTCTTAAAGCTGAAGGCCTTGGAACCCATGTCAGCGGCGACCGCGTTTTAAGCGACCCCAGGTTAAAAATCAGGTTTGGGCTTGGTTCTAACAGAGTCGCCAGCTTGCAGACCCTGCGCACGAGCCATGTTCACTCAGCATGCTGTTGGTTTTGCGAATCCGTACAGCGAGCTCGAACCCATATTGAGAGATGAGGAAATGTGGCGATATCGTTCAGAGTGTCTGCACGAGCTCGTAAGATCTATAATAGCATACATAGATTCTAAGAACAGAGTACATTCAGGCCATTTGTTCCGTCAGTCGTGCGCATGAGGTCCTTTGAAGACATGGCTGTTTGCCCACATGTCTAGACGCCAATCAACACCGAAATAAAGCTGATGTCAACGTTCAAAATGTGATGCGCGATGCTTAAGGTTTAAGTCATCCAATAGGGACCACTGTTTTCCTGCTCGCTTGACCAGGGCAGCTGAACTGCCAAAATCCGACCAACCATGGATGTGACCTCTCCTTTGGAAACGGGATTTGGAATTTCAAGTTTGGAGTGCTTCAGGGTTGATCTCTCCTAGGATAGAGTCCAAATGCAACCCCAGATCAAGATGTCTGTGTTTGAGGGTACCCTTTTTAGGGGTTGGCTGAAAGGGAAGCCACGAGGAAAGCAACCATTTTTCAGGTCCCCTCCCCCTATTTCAAGACACATGTTCTCATTGGTTGCGCGTTGAGTCTGTTGCAGCCGTTTGCGAGCGCGCATGTGCTCCGCTTTCGCAACCACTAGTTAGGCCCGCCGCGGGCTCAGATGTCGTGCTGGGATTCCCCCAAAATCACATCTTTGGCGTTTGGACACATGAGTTTCCTTTATGTAATGTAGGGGTAAGCAGGGATTGGTGCTTTTTCGAGCAATGTCCTTGTGGTTTCTTTTTGGTGTTGCTTTGAAGCAAGCCAACATTCAGCGCATTCAGTACCCTCTAAAAAGACACACCGATATGACCCCTACAAAATATATAGTGGTTGAATCCTCAAGCGGGGAGCCTTGAGTGAACAGAGATTACCAGCCTGAATTTAGAGGCTTGCAGAAGGGCGCATCTGCCTGTCTTTAAGTCAGGTATGGGGCTCTTTTCCTGCTGCAATTCATTTACACGGAAACAGAGTTCAGCACCCTGTTCAACAATAGTCAGGGACCCACGGCCGCCTTGTTTTCAAGGCCAAAGGGAACCCCACCATTCGCATTCGGGGGAGTTTGCGGTCAAACGAACAACTTCGCAGATTAGTTACTTGGTCCTTTCATGTGTCTATATGCATATGGTCTGTAGCCACCCACAGCTGGGTACGGGTCTTGTGCTCTGAAAGGAATGGCCTCTTAGATGTTCTGACCCGGCAGATGACATGTGTTTCTCATGGAGATGTCCTCCATTTTGAGGTTTCGGGTAGGGATTATTTCTTGTCGCCATGTGTTTGTTGCACCGATCAAAGGGCTGGCAAAACACGGGATCCTGGGCTCCAATCAGGTGGTGGATAGCGGTGATTTGGGCACCCGCAGAAAAGACAAACAAGTATTGGAGAGGACGCAACCCGCGCCCGTCATGGCGCCGGGGTTCCGGAATGTTGCAAATTTCACCAGCATTCATAGAATCATGTTGCTCTGGCCGAGGCTGGACATTTCCATCCTCCATGTCGCAAAGCACGAAGGAGGCAACGCGACCGCTCCGGCGCTTCACATTTAGATGGCCCACAATTTGCTTAGCCACAATCGAATTTGAATCAGGAGGTCGGTGTGGCTCCTTAGCCCTTCTGATGCCTTTCGGGTTTTGAGTGCACCCCTCCCCCTTTGAACCAGGTGTTCACTCACTTGCAACCGAAGTGAGTCGCTCATGTCTCGCTGTGTGTGTGTGTGCGTTTGTGTTTATGTTTGTTTGTTTGTGCGTGTGCCTGTGGTTGGTGTCTGTGTGCGTCTTCGTGTATGCGTGTGTGTGTGTGTGTGTGTGTGTGTGTGTGTGTGTGTGTGTGTGTGTGTGTGTGTGTGTGTGTGTGTGTGTGTGTGTGTGTGTGTGTGTGTGTGTGTGTGTGTGTGTGTGTGTGTGTGTGTGTGTGTGTGTGTGTGTGTGTGTGTGTGTGTGTGTGTGTGTGTGTGTGTGTGTGTGTGTGTGTGTGTGTGTGTGTGTGTGTGTGTGTGTGTGTGTGTGTGTGTGTGTGTGTGTGTGTGTGTGTGTGTGTGTGTGTGTGTGTGTGTGTGTGTGTGTGTGTGTGTGTGTGTGTGTGTGTGTGTGTGTGTGTGTGTGTGTGTGTGTGTGTGTGTGTGTGTGTGTGTGTGTGTTTCTCGCGCTCTGTCTCTCTCTCTCCCACTCCCTCTCTCTTCCTCTGTGTCTTGGCTTCTCTCTTACTTTCTCTTTGTCTTTCTCTGTCTTTTCATCCCTTTCTGTGTTGTGTGTGTGTGTTTTTAGCATGTGTCTGTGTGCGTGTGTTTGCTTAGTTGGGCGAAACACATTTTGCAAACTACAGCCTCCGCATTTTGCATGCGTGCAGCTTCAAGTTTGTATGGATGCGTTCTACTTTGAGCTCGTGGGATCATGCCCGTGGACTTGCGTAGAGCTTCGAACGCATGCCGAGACGGGCGGGGGGTGGTTGCGTTCACAAGCAGTGCTTCACGCATTCCCCCGGGACGGCGGCAAGCAGCGCACGGGGTGGGGCGGGAGGTGGGGTGGGCGGTGGGGTGGGCGGTGGGGTGGGCGGTTGCGTTCACCGGATCTTGCGTGCAGCTTCGGCCTTCCATGATCGTCCCCGCGCCGCTAAAATGCCCATCGCCGCGACTGGCGTCGTGATCTGGTTGAAGGCCCCCTTTGCAGGTTGGCTTACAGGCAAACCAGGCCCACTGTTTGCATCGAGACATGTTACCCGGTTTACCCGTTCTTCTCGCGCTCACGAGGAAGCCAACCACGGATGTGATTTCGATTCGGAACCGGTTCAGTCCCCCCACCTCCTGTCTCCAACGTTTTTTTATATAACCACTTCCATAAGATGTTTCATTCTCCTCTGGTGTTTTTGTTGGAAACCTATCACTTCACTACTGCATGGGCATATTACATATTTGTTCTGGGGGGCCTTAAGGAAAATGGAGGACCAGAGTCAGAGAAATAAACGTTAAACCCCTGTTTATTAATAGGGGGTGTTCCCCTCCAAAAGTGATTATTCCCCACTAATCCAGGTACACCCCCTATTAATTAACAGGATTGATTAACATGGGGTCAACATTACGTAGTTTTCCGTGCATCCTTCTTTGCTGGGCCAAATCCGGGCGTTTGGTTCAATCCAGCGTCAGGGCGAGATGCTGGCGGAGATTGCGAAGATGCAGGGCCGCGGAGGCGTGGAAGCAGAGATCGGACCTCGTGTCCTCGTGTCGAACAAGAGAAGCCGCCGAAGAGGGGTGGTCTTCGCTCTTGTCTTTTTGTTGAGG